AAAGATGGTGTGTTTGATATCTGCTGCATTCTGGAAAAATCCAATAAAACAGGGGCTAAGCAAGCTTTCAAACTCCCTATCTATGGGTACATACTAACATTTGCATTAAAGAAAAAATTCAGGGACTTTTAGAAGATGTGGGGACCATATATAAATTTCCTGAAAGATGACCCCAATGAAGATTCTTCAATTCAAGAACTTTGTACAATAATGACTTTTAAAAAATAGTTTGGGGAATGTTTAAAAATCCCATCTGAGCTAATGCAAAGTATCTGAGTGCAAAACTCTCCAAGTGTGTGTTTGCTTCTTGACATGTTGGACTTTGGGGAGACTTATCTTAGAAGATCACATTTGCATTCTCTCTTTGTTCAACATTTATTCAAGCCTATATTATGTTTTCCACCGTTGCATGAACTGCCCACACAATCAGTGCGTTCTGCCTGTTGGTTGATCAGCCAGAACAACCAGTTTATCTAGGCATTTAATGTGAACCTAGTGAGCATTTTCATGTTCATTTGCTGTCTACCCAGCAGCTAATGTATGCAGTGACAACATCAGCAACTGCTGCCTACCTGTCTGCCCACATTTACAGATGTGTGACCATGGCAGGCGCCTTTCCTTTGTGAACCCACAGAGCCCAGTTGGAGGGCGGAAGACTAGATCTGATAGATGTTAAACATATTATCTTCACTCGAACAGTGTAATCTCCACAACAGTTGTAGTCCATAGGTTCAAGTTCACCTTCAAGTCATGTACACAGAAGCTGTTCAAGGAAACCTTAGCATACATGCAAACTTTATTAATATGTTTTTAAGATGTGACTTTTAGTCATTTTTCAAGGAACAGGACATGACAGATGCCTGTAAGCTACTCCGATCTGTAAAACATCACAAACTATATAAATTATTCATATGCTGGTGTGTTGTGTTGCAAGACGAGCCACGGGTTTACAAGCTTTATATTAAACTTGCATTAAAGGAACACCTTCATTTTATTAAAAGAAATTTGCCATTTGTTAATTTGGATTAGATTGTCATGTTTTTTGCTCATGGCTGTTGGGCACAATAAGAGTAAGAGGTGGCTGCAGGGGAGGCCAGCTGACCTGTTTGAAGTCTCTGACTGTAAAATGGTATCTTAGAACAGGAGAAGAGAGTTCACATACAAGTTCATACTAGGGTTCAGACACATGGTAACACAGACTCTGAGGGTAAAGCAGGTGAAAGTCTAAAATACCAAAAGATCTTTATAATCCCCACCCATCCTCCCACAGGCAACCATTTGTAAAGTACTTTGTTTTGTCACCTCAAAGCTCTTCACACAGCGGGTATAAATTGTAAAGGTCAAAGGTGATAGGTTCTAGCTGCTGTGTATTACTGTCTGTACTGCTTCACATCTTATAATGGCAAACACTGATGCTGAAATTTGTTCTCTCTCTGTTTTGTAAACCCATAACAATGGTCACCAAAGCTTTAACTGATAAAAAAAAAATGCATATAAACTGTTTCTGGAAGTGGCCCCTGACCAAGCACTGATTAGAGTTTGATTATAGCTCAACCCTGTCTGCTTTGGTCACTAATATGGCAAGCTGCAGCTGGAAAGTAAACATCAGCGATTTAAAGTGACAGGACAGCATCCTCTGAGAGCCTGAAGCCAGATTATGAATCAAGGCACAGGGATACAGATCTGTTTACTTTGTTTTTGTATGATCCAGGGATTTAACTCTGTGTATTACAGTTTTATTGAAAAGATTTACATTGATGTATTCAAATTAAGCTATTGCATAAATGCAGTTTTATTTTCTGATGGACCAATGGCATATTTGTCACAGAACAGCTCTGGTTACTTGTTTTGCATTTTTGCCTCAGGAACTGTTCATTACATTCTCTGGATTTTCACCAGCTTCCAGTCCTTTTTCCAGTATATGGCTGATATTTTAGCTTGTTTCATGAAAAGCAGCGACTCTGGTTTCATACCAGGAGCAAGGCACTCCAGGGAGCACTGGTCAGCCCAGATGTGACTGGTGTGATGGATAGATGCAGGCCAGCTGCTGCAACAACATGTCTATTTCAGTCTTCCATTGTTTGGCACTCAGTCATCACTGTGTGTGTAGCAAGTCAACAGCCAGTCTACTGTGTGTACTGCCCTTTTGCTCACAAAAGAGAAAGGATTAATAGAAGAACGGGCATGTGCTTCCTATCTCTCAGTAAATGTCCTTCCAATGAGTACAACTCAGTACAACTTCCTCTCTCATTTTCTATAAAACACATATCCATAATGCAGCACACACAGAATGAGCAATGTTTAGGCAGCATGGCAAGACACTTCCAAAATGGACTAAATACTTGGCAGCATGTGTGTTGTCAAACAGTTTGTGGTCATATGGTACTTCTTTTTTCTTGCAATATGAGAGCCCTTACTGGGCCTGGCAGTGTCAGTCCTTTGAGAAACACTTGATTTGAATGAGCTGCGGTGAACACTGCAAAGCACATCAACAGCAACAATGTTACCATCTGCTTCCCATAAACCGAGCAAGACTTACGAGCAGTCGCACAAAGTGAAGTCTGGGTTTTCCGGAGTTTATCTCATTCAAGTCAACAACATGTACTTTTCAGGTGATGCCTATCAGCTGCTCATCATTGTCTCACTCTCTCTTCTGCTTTCTGCCAGCTGCAAAGAGAAAGGTGCTCCTAGTACAACTACTGATATTGTTGATGTGGATATCATCCATCAAGAAAATGTTTAAAGGGTTCATAGCTACTTAGTTGGTTCTACTGGCCAAGTTACTGACTGCTAGAAGAAACAAAAGAAAATTATTCACTCCACTGGAAACATATGAACGTGTTATTGCTTTTTGATTGTTTCTGACACTATGACACCAATTGCAAACTGAAATTTCAGCTCATTATAGGATTTCATGTTGAATTCCTGCAAGAATAACTCATGCAGGAAGCATAGTGCCTTTAACATATGTAACTTGTTTATGTAATTTGAAAATTACCTACTACAGGTATTTCCAGGTACTACTGGGTGACTGGCATATAACAAAACCAGTCATTATAGGGTATTATGACGATGCAAATCACACTAAAATGCATGGGTGGAGGGGTGGGGGGCACAGCATTCATGGGAACCATAGTGACAAAGTGTTGGATTGCACTTGGTCGCCTCTGACTGGAGAACTAGTCAATCAGTGACATGTGAGACTTCTGGCCATCTGTCTAATTACAATAGGTGTCTGCTAACACACCACACGTTTGTGTTGAGATCCAGATAAAGGTGGCTGTATTTGCCCAACGAAAAACACAAAATATAGCTTTGCTAAGATCCTTTCTAATACTTATACACACTCCCTGATATGAGATAGGAAACACATGAAATTTTATTTTCAATTCCAATTAACACTAGGACTAGAATCACCATTTTTATTCACTCAGGCACCAATACTTGTCTTTAAAGGTGCTATCATTAATAGGTTATATAAGAAAACATTACCACCAATGATTCTTCATTATACTCTTGAATGCACACAGCAGAAGCAAAGATCCAAATTGTGTGTGGAATAACAGCAGTGTTAATGTAGATCAATGTGATGTAAAGTGAGGTAGAGTCATTTGTTGATATTGATTTTACTGATACTAGTATCAGTTCTCTAAACAAATCTCATGAATATCACTACTTTAGGTTTCAATCTGACAAGCCCAAACCCTTGATCTATATGATACCCTTTTTGTTAATATAAGAGAGAACATGGATACCATTTTAAACTTTTAATAGATTTTTTTTAAAAACTTTTTTCCATGCTCCTCTTAAGCTTGCTTACAGTAAATACAGCATTTCGTCTCCCCTGTTCTATTTTTGACTACCCATCTGTACTGTTTCCTTGAACAACAAAAAGAGCAACCCCAAACACAAATACACACACAAGTTCAACAGGGAGAGGAAAAGATGGTGCTTAGAGGCTGCAAACACATCAGAATTTTATAAAAATATGTAGAAACCTTCAAAGCTAAAATTCAAGCATGATTCCCGCCAAGTTGGACATAAACACCAAACTGCTCCTTAAAAGGCTGGCAGCTGAAAAAGGTTTTCACATCTCCTCTGAAGTTCTCAAAGGATAGTTTCAAGTGATTTTGCTGATAGTGTAAAACCCAGCTTTCTTTGAAAATGCAGCCAGTGTTTTCTCACATGTAATCGAGGCCAATCAATCCGTGGTGCTGTAAATTTGTGTAGCGTGGCCTTTCCTGTCTCCCTCTCTCCAACATTTGCCAGCCACAACTACAATGCCCCCTATTTATAGCTCTTTTACCTCAGATATATTAACTCTCTCCCCCAGCTTAGCCTGCTATTTCCTGACAGAAAGGAAATGTGTGTGTGTTTTTGAATGTGCTTTACTGACCTTTGGGAGCAGTGAGCAACCAGACTACTGTTGATAGCAACGTGTGAACATATGTTGGTGCCTTTCCCCAGCTTGTGAGTTTTTGTTTTCCAACCGCTAAATGTGAACCACCTGCCTTTTGTTTTTGAATCAGTCCTTCCTAATCTTGCTACATCTAGAGACGGAGACAACCTCTCATCCAGTGGTAATGAAAAAGAAGGTAGCAGCTAATAGATTTCCAGGGCAGGTGACAGGTCACACTCAGTATCTTTCTCAGGGCCTTTGAATGGGAGTGTGTGATGTTTGGTTAAACCAACACCTCATGGCTGAGATGTCAGAGTTCACCTTCCTTCAAGGCTATGATCGAAGAAAAAGCTGAGACCAGCACTGAACATCCTGTTTTGGATGTAAACACTTACAAAGTCAGGGCTTGCCTCTGTGTTGGGTAAAACAATCTGTTGTATCATTCATTTCAGCCATCTACCCACCCTAAAGGACTAAGTGTTAGGAAGGTATTAGATGCTCTGATAATAAGGATAATCACCTTTATTTGGCCAAGTATGTTACACACAAGGAATTTGTTTCCGGTACAGAACTCAACCAATGGCTCCAACCATCAAGGCAATTTGGGGGTTCAATGTCTTGCCCAAGGACACTTCAACACGTGGACTGTAGGTACAGAGATTCAAACCTCTGACGCCCCGGTTGGGAGACAGCTGCTTAACCCACTGAACGACAGTCACCCCACAAAGCGCCAGCAACTTGGACAGACATTAGATAGGATGATAGGAAATCCCTGGGAGGAAACAAAACAAACAAAACAACAAAACAAAACAAAACAAAAAGACTTGCCTGGCCAACATGTCTGTCTGTCTTACAGGACATTTTCTCTTGACAACACCTCCTCTGGTCAGTGCTGGGTTACTGGCCCCACGTTTAGACTTCCTGTCATTTTGTGTCAGACTGGTTGGCATCATAAGTGCATTATATAAATGTTTACCTAACTTGCTGTATTCATCAAGTGCTGCAAATAGCTTAGGTAGCCACTGTGAGAATAAAATAGCTAATTAAGTTGTACCTTTAACAAAGAATATCAAGAAAGGACCCATGAACATTCAAAACAATGATGTTTGAATGGCTGAGTTTCAATTGTCAAATGAGAAGCAGGAAGGGTGTGGGAGAGAGAGAGTACAACTTTCAAAGAGTATCTGCAAACTTTGCAGATTTTTCACAGTAATCTTACATCAAGTACAGAGATGAAATTACTAGACTAAAATATGAGAGCAGGTTGTAAATTTATTCTGTGTCCATTGTGTTAGAAGAAAATATTCTTGCTCCTTCAGAAAAAAGCTCAAAAAGTTACTTAGAAAAATATACATTGAGATTAGAACTGAAAACTTGAAATTCAGTGTTTACTTCAAATAAACAATTTGCATATTAAGGAACTACAAAACACAGAATAGGTGGCTTTGATTGAGCTTAGTTTCTTGAAGAGAACCGGGAGCACAAGCATCCAGAAGGAAGGCACTGTCGTTTTCTGAAATCACAATCAAGCTTATTGAGCCTACATTCAGGGAAAAAAAATTTCATGTGTACACAAAAGAAGAACATACTTCTTCCTATTGCTTACCCCTCTGTTTCATCCCATCTCTGATGTGCCCACTTTCTCTCAAAGCCAAACTCGAGCTAAATACAGAAAGCCCAGCAACTGCTACAGTACTACAAACCTAAGGTTAGTTGACTTTGGAAAGGTCATCAGGTTGAAAAGACAGCGGGGGCTGGGAGGTTTTCTTAAGACTAACCCTCACTTTCCCACTCCTGAGTTAAGCTGAATACCCAAAAAAAAAAAAACTGCTTTTTTTTTTAAAAAAAAAAAAAAAAATGTTCAAGGCAAAGCCAGCCACTGACAATGTACTTAATCCTCTATCATTTTCATCACTTTCCATTTCTTTCTAAAAACACCTTTTACTTTCAAAGCTGACAAAACTCCAACTGTTCTTAATAGCCATCTTTTGGTACATCATCAATGTCCAATAACCTTCCACTACAGTCCAGACACAGTCTCCTATAATATGTTCAGTTTCTTTCAATCTGGTCAAGATCCAGCTGTCCCCCCAGCTGGAAAATGTCTCTCTGTATCCCACAATCACCCTTCCAGAGGGTGCATTTACTGCCCACGATGCCTACAGGAGACCCAGGACGTGAGTCCACACTACACAACGAATCGCTATCAAGCTCTTCATAGGATGAATCCTGTGCCTCATCTTCTCCTGCCACTTCCTGCCGTGGCTCCGGTCCCAGTTCGGACACAGCAGTGAAGTCTGAATCTAGCTGGCTGGATGTCTCAGAAGAGGGCGAAAGCAAGCTTGATTGGCAGCCGTCAGTGGCTGAGAATCCAGGGCAACTCAAGCTCTGAAAAGTCTGGAGTTTCTGAATAGGAGAGAGAAAAAAAATATATATCAAAATGTTGATTTGCATCTTATGTTTACCTTTTGGCTTCAGTTTAATCATGGTAAAAAAATAAATAAAAAAAAACTGGGTGGTTTGTGAGGTGGACTCAGAGTCAGGGTTTTCCAGAATGCCAGGTTGAGATTGGGTTTCAGTTTGGGCAGCCAGACGCTGGCCTTCCCTTTCACTGATAGCATGCAAACATGCATAAGCATACAAGTCACTGAAGAACACACAGAACTTGAAACCTATTGGTTGTGTGGAAAAAGAACACACACACACACACACACACACACACACACACACACGAGTTACCAACCACAAAGGTATCTGGTTTCAAACTGTGCTCTGGGCCTATTTATTATCATGGAAGCTATGATGAAACACACACACACACACACACACACACACACACACGACTGGGAACCCAACATCGTGCAGTGGATGACACTTCTTGCATCCATTGTAATTCACAACTGTTAAGGTTTTACATAGCTACATATAGATGCGTTACCATCTTCAACACGTGACCATCACTAGATTTAGTTGATTAAAAAGTCTCCAGTTTACTTTCATTCTCTCTTTCCACCTTGAAATCATCTCTACAACAAAGAAAGACAGCCATGCAAAGCAGAGAAGGGGTTAATGATTTCTGGAGTGCCCCAGCAGCAGATGTTGGGAGGCACTAAGGTGAATAGAGATGAGGTTTTCTGTATAGAGCCTCAGCTTACAGGACAGAAACCTCTAATGTTCCCTAGAATGTGTTAGGACATTGCTTTTCCTGTTAGTGATTCTCCCTTTCATAAGTCTCAATTTTGTAGGTTCACTTTTTTTTTTTGTTTTTTTAACTATACTGCCCTGATTTAGCAGGGTCTAAAGGAAAAAAAACTACAAAACAGGATTCTGGCTTTCTGAGTTAAAAATTTACTCACTATTGGTGGATTAACTTTACATACAAGCTGTTCAAACAAGATACTTCATCTGCAAATGCTTGAGGTGATCATGTGAGGAGTGGGAGGCCTTTGCTGTAGTTACCCACACTAGTGTAGAAAGGGGATTTCTGTGTCCTCGCTGTCTGTTCAAGCCCCAGTATAACTACACTACTAATTATCACAGCAGAAGGGAAGACAAAAAGGAGGGGGCAGAGGCTGTTTCTCCACAGTATGCTTTCTCTAAAATCGACAGACTGGGATTTGGTTGGGTGTGGTGGTAGGTTGGGGGAACAGGATTAGATTTCTGCTGTGTACCCATCTTTGCCTGTGCCCCCACCCCACCCGAGCATACCCCGACCCAGATGGAGTACATCCACACACACACTACAAATTTTCAGTACTACAGCACACCTCCATTTCCCCTATTGCCATAACCAGTAGTCTTGATCATACACACACACACACACACACACACACACACACACAAAAACAAAAAACCTTGGAGTTGCAGCACACTTCCATAAAGCTGAGGGTTTCACAATAAAACATTTTAAAAAGAATGGTCAAATTTGAAATAAACAGAGGCTGAGATCCATGCCCCAAAACCATCAAAAGGCATCATCACGGTATTTCTTTTAAAAGCTCCTCCAGAGGAAAAAAAAGATTTTCACAGGGAGAATAGTACTGCTCATGAGCTTTATGTGTAAATTTGACAGAGTGCCCCTTCACATCTTCAGCTGTGGGTGATTTGGCAAGTGTGCTTTAATAGTAAAGCTTCCAGAGCTCTATTTGAGATGACAAGTACCAACCAGTGGGGGCAGCAAACATTATACAAATACATTAAAAAAAAAAAATAAATAAAAAAATATAGAAGAGCAACTCCCGTGAATGTTTACAACACAGCCAAGGAAACCGTGATCAGAGGGTTCGTGATGTCACATTATTTTAATAAAGACAGAAGCATGGTGACACTAAACTTATGAATGTTGCTTTCTGCATTACATCTCATATTGTACATGCATCATTTCCAGAGAATATGTATAAACAAACAGAGAGGGGGAGGTGGGAAAGGAAGCAGAGAGACAAAATATATTCAAAGGCTATATCTAAAAGTGCTGACCATAAACAGTATAAAAAAAATGGGGTATGTAAACAAATCTTAGGCATAAAGCTGCTATTTACAACATGGGATCAAAAGGCAGCTGCTGTGGGAGAACAACAAGCACAGGCCAAAAAGGTCAGGCAAATATCTTCCTTATAATTAGGACAAACAACACCCTGCTAAGTAGTATGGCAAAGGTCCTGCCAGGTGACTAGAAATACAGACACGAATTAGCACATGTATACAGAGAGGAGTATACAAACAACAAAAACATGCAGGTCCTTTACTATGCACCCTGTGTACAGATATAAAATATAAGTGTTTGAATTCGCTCCATGTTGAAATGAGGGCAGATTAACATGCACCATCGCACTGCTCTAAGGAAGGCAAGCAAACAGAACTCCCAACAGAAAGTAAAACAAAGACAGGAGAGCTCAACTCATTCTAGTCAGTCAGACTATATATTTGCACACCACTGTATCCTTTATTTGTGATGCTGTGCTATCTGCCTTTGCTTTTGTGTGCGTGCTTGTACCACTGAGAGAATGTATGGCAGATACATGGAAATGCCTGGATGTCAGGTGATAAAAGACAAACACAGTAAATTAGGTTTGAGCAAAGGCTCAATAAACAGAGGTCATATGTGTGACTGTGCATTAGCATTTGGCAAAGCCTGGCATAATACCTCTGGGACATGTCACAACATCTCACTGCACATGGTGCACACCACACCTCAAGACGCCTACCTAGGTGTTCCCACAGGCCTGCAGGGCTTGATGCTCAGCCATGACTGCCATGTTTGCCATCCCAGGAATGGAGTCAGATGGTGAGAGGAGGGGGAACAGAGAAGCTCGAACTTGGGCCAGCGAGAAGATATTAATATAGGAGTGAGAAGTTAGTCAGCCAGCTTCCCTGCAGAAATAATCCCCCCTTTCTTCACCCCGCTGGTTCTCTGAGTGCATGGGCGCGCATGCACACACACAATTTCAAGCACTTGCTCAACATACCCCCTTTTACCACCTCTACTGCTAACACAGCTAAACCAAAGATAGTAATTTTTCTTCAAAATGTATCAACAACCCAAGCAAAATCATCAAGTTGGGCTACAAAGAAAACACAGACATAAAACATTTTTAATAAAACTGGTCAGGCTGGCATGACACAGGCTGATTTCCTCCAAAGAAAAGTGTGAGCTGCGTCAACAATCATTCAGCAAGTGACCTAGAATCAAGAGATGACTATCCCAGTCTGACAGCTTGCTACACCCACAGTGCAGGGGAAAATACAATGAAGAGCCAAGGTGGAAGATCAGCCAGGGATAAAAACAAGGCAGTGAAGTGGAATTAACTGATACACGTGGCTGACAGGGAGGATGATCAAGGAATTTTGGGGGTGGCTGCATGTAAATCCCTATAGTAGTCAAGCTACTGCTGATTAGCACGATATGCATCCATAAAATTCACACCCGCCTTCATTGATGTGGTTGAGGAATCCAGAGGCCAAATTACATCCTGTTCCCCTGCCAACACTGGGGGACTTGTTAGGTACTGGCCCTCATAATCCTCAACACCCCACACCTCCAACACACTTAACTTTTTGCATTTATTGTCCAGGAAATAAAAAAAATAAATAAATGCACACTGTAGCAAATGTCACTGGACAATTACAATTTGCCATGACAAACATGCACTACTTTTGCTTCTCTTTACTTGGACTTTAGACTGTAATACTCAACCACACACCTTTAAAATGAAGTGAGCATTGTGGCCAGTGTGTGTGTGTGTGTTGTAATGACACCTGTCCACTTCTTGGGCAGGACTTTGAGAAAGTATGAGTGTATAGTCAGGAAGGCACAAAAATAACCAAATTCCCATAAGAAATAGTAAAACCTCATCTGTTACTAACCCTGACAGTAAGTCTTATATTCCATCTTCACTTAAACAGACAAGTTGTAACCATATTATCCACATTATCACTCCCTTTTCCAGACAGTGTGCCAGCTACACACTTCTTTACCTTTGGCTTTCACAAACCACCTCGTTAACCAATGAATCTTCAATCAGTGCTTCAGTTTTGGATTATTTAATTTAGTACAACCCTATTTCTTTAGGTTCCTGAGCGCACTAGATGCAGCCTTTTAAGTGAACTGGTTACTGACAGAAAAACTAACAGCAAGTTAAATCTGACTTGTGCAGGAAGAGAAAGAGAAGTGAAAGAGTCAAGTTTTTCCTAAATGGCACTGTGTGTGCTGGGTTACTGCTTACTCTCCTCACTTCAGGCATGCAAGAGAGCACATGTAATCATGCAAGTCAAAAAAACTGAACTGAAAAACATTTCGGTGCTGAGAACAGATAGTGTGCCTACAATTATCTGCAGAGGTGATCTCCTGCATTCAAACACTGCTGCCAGTGGTAACATAAAACCAACTTCATATGTGTGTCTCTGTGCATGTATATGTGATCATTGTACTCGATTTTCCCTCTTAGCTGCTGGCATGAACAGAGGAAACATGTTTGCTAGGCTCCATTACCAAAGCCTTGTTGATCTAGCCTTGGTCCAGAGGGTGAGTGGCTGGCAACACTTAGCTTTGGAAGGAAGGAAGGAAGGAAGGGAGGGTACAGAGATAGACTGATGGTACTTTCCAATAAGGAAACAGGAAACACAATATTTCTGTGACATAAGGTATGATGAAGGAAGATTTTAGGGTACCATATAAATGTTGGTGTATACAGGACACAGTCTATAATCCAAGTCCTGAGTCATCACATCTTATCTGAGCATAGCCTGGATTTGGAATCGGTGGCTGCTGGCGGTGCTATAGCTTCTATGCAGGATTCCCAGCAAATTCAAATGAATAATGAACCAGGATGTGATATAATGATAAAACCCAGATTTTTCTGGGCTCTATAAAAATATCCAAGCACTGCTAAGCATTAAATCAGTACATGTCATTAAAATACTTCCATGGCTCTATTTTGGGTCTGTGTTTGTCCAGGGGTCATTTATACTGTGGCTGCTCCACTGTTCCACTTGTTGTGGGGAAAGCACTCCAGCATTTTGTGTATCCAAATATCTCTGCTATCAATCACCTTTGGTTGCCCGACAGTAGACAAGAAAGGATGACGTAATACAGTGAATGACAGATGCAATTACAGGGTAGTAGATGCCCAGAGAAGGCAAATGAATCCTGAGGAGTCCAACCTATGGATGGGCTGTTTACCCAGCAGAGTACAATCAGAGCCAGGCTTGCTAGAGCGTGGCACTAGGCAGCGTGACTGAACATGAGGAATGCCTCTTTAGAAGCACCGCTCTCTGAAGGAGGGAGGTCTGAGATCATTTAGCCCTGAAGCTTCGGACAGACGACCCAGAAAACTTAATTCAGCTGGATTTAATCCAGTGCCTGATCAGACTCAGAGAGGCAGGCCCAGTTATGTTTGATGATCTTTTTTGTTCTTAGACCAAAGGAGAAGTTCAAAAGTATTTGTCTATTTGGAAGGGGCATTTCAGCCAGGATTTAACTAATGGACATTGTTCAGCATTAAAGCAAAATTAAACGTAAACTGATGGTGATTTATGTTTAATCAGTGAGCAAACGTGACCCTAAACTCTGTGCAATGAGTCAAATTATAATAAAATGCATTTGCATGAATATGAGCTCTTGTCTGTGCATGTCAAATGGTGTTCAACACTCCCAGCTAACCTGAGTCATCTTTGCCAGGTCCAGGGAGGGCCGCTGTTCCTGGGCATCTTCCGGTCTCCTACGCTTCACACCAATTTTTTTCTCGTTTAGCACGCAGGGTTGGGACCTGCTCCGAGACAGACACCCTGTACCCCCTCCTCTCTGGCCAGCTCTCCTCCTGAGTTCTGGTGTGGAGTCTGGTGAGCTGGCCTCCAAAGCCTCTTCCCTCTGGAACTCTGGTAGACTGATCTGCTCATGGGACAGGGAGAGAGGCCTGAGGAACTGGTGATGATGCGAGGAAGGAGAGGTAGGGGAGACTGGAGATGCAGTGAACTGAGGGTGGAGAGGCAGTCGCTGGTTGAAGAATGGTAGGTCCAGGGTTCCATCAGAAGGGATGCTGGAGCGCGAGGGCAAACTGAAGCTGGAGCTACGCTGCATGGTAGGAAAATGATTGCCCGAGAAACCCCCTCCTCCTCTGACACTTCCTCCACTGTGACATCTTCTTTTCTCCACTGCTGTCCACACTCGGGAGCCTTGGGGCTTCCAAGATGAGCGAAACCCACTGAATTCATCAAAGAGCGACAGGGAGCGACACTGACGTTTGCTTGGGGGTGCTGTAGGAGCTTGGCTGGTGGCAGTAGTGGTGTAGTGTGCAGTGGTGGACGTGGTGTGGGAGTGAGGACTGCTCATGCTGCCGTCACAGAGGCTCAGATCTCTTATCAGACTGGTGATTGCTTTGGTGCTACCTGGTTCCTTAGCCCAGTGCTGGCTTCCCGGCTCAGGCATCACATCCCACAGCGTCTCCAGACTGGCGCCAGACTGGCAGTGAGCTCTCTGCTGAATGGCACAGCTTTGCCCCAGGTCCAGCCACCTATCTGCCTCTGCAATATTCAAAACATATATTCTCACTCTCATTGACCTTGTTAGCAGCTCTTTGATATGCCTCTATATGTGTAACAAGTAATAATAAGGAAATGTTGCATTATGGCAATTACTATAATAAAACCAGTCGTATGTGGAGGTACTAAGTCAACACAAAACTACAAACAAATAAACAAGAATACATTTAATCCAAGAGGGAATGGCTGCAGTAAGGTCAAGTTGTTTGGTACAAAAAAGGAGCTGCTGTGTTTGGATGATATTTAGAAAATCAACATATAATATAAAGGACATTTATGGCAGTTGCACACTGCTAAGCACAAAAATCAACAGAAAATTGTGAGCTTTGGTACGCTGTCAGTCATTTGTCTTAAAATGAATGACACAATTAAGCCTGGAGGAAACAAAACTGCAGCTGCAGAGTTCAAAACAGTGTCATCCATGTGCAACTGTGCCAAAGGCACAGGTACACATTGCTGAAAAACAGTTGCACAAGGCTGAAAAACAAAAAAACAGAACTGAGTGCAAGGTGAAAGGAAAGCTGAAGTCTTAAAAAGACGGTTGTTTATTCAGAATTTGGCAGTGCTCATATTATGATACACTATATGGTTTAGTGGTGACAGTATGACTCAATACGATCACTATGGGCTCCAGTATGTGACCATTTTTTACAGAAATGGGTAGAAAATATGCAGAAAAACCTTGGTTGTAGAGTAAGGTGTAATGGTGCCATTCCTTTTGCATTAGAAAGTTTGTTTCCATTACTTCCAAAGTTACAGGCAATAAAACTTAATCTATAGTAGAAATTCTAGATTACCAGTAAAATCTGACTGTTGACACATCCAAGACATGTCAGTCCACCAAATGTTATTATGGATGCCATTTTGAGGTATCCAGCAGTCAAACAACCAGACTCATTTAAAACCTGGACTTGCAAGAATGCCGATTCCCAAAACATGAACAGCATATTCTATCAAGAATCACAGTGAGACTGTTGGCAAGTCACTCCCAATAGTCAAGTGTTTAGCAGGATATGGTTGGAAAGCAGTCGTTCTTGCCAGCTGTCTCACCACCCGCACAAAAGAGTCCATCACACAGCTGTGGGAGATAATACACCTACAGCGAAGTGCCATAGTAGCTTGAGCTACTAAGCCAAGTGGTTAAGTCGTGCATTTATTTAAGCATTTGGCAAAAAGGGCCCCTTACTGGTCTAAATTCCATCCTTTTGGGATGCTTGTCTCTAATTTTGGCATGCTCTCTCACAGACTGGTGGACGGAAATCATTGTTTTGGGCGGACGAACAATGTACGGGGGTTACAGTGACGACCTGGGAGGAATGTTAGGAAAACAACTTGACAAAGGGAGAAAGGGATGAACTTCAAAAGCCCACCATTTTGAAAGCAAGAAACAAAGTGCTGGCTGTACTAACACAGCATGCTAGACAATGTAAATGTTAACAGCAGAAACTATAAGCCACCTTCCTGATGGTGACTTCACCACATCCCCAGAAAAAGTTAGAGGATATTAAGTGATATGTGGAGTTTGTATTTAAAGTAGCGTGTCTTCAGACAGTGGGTAATTACTGCAAAACAAAACACAGCCAAAGTGAAACTGTTGACACAGGCAACAGCATATTCAATTACAATTCACTCCCATGAGGGTGGTGTGCAATGTTGTGTGGAGGCAGGTGCACCCTGATCAGAGAAGGGGGTGACAAACAAAGGGAGAAGTGAGAGACCAATTGTGACGGGGGGGTGGGTGGGGGGTGGATGCAATAAGACGTTATAGGAGGGGTTCACTGACCTTGACAGTTCAACGCATCAAGGGATTATGGGGGCAATCCATTGTGCTATTACATTTGTGAAATGATGTTATAAATGAAAGTAGACCACCTCAGCCAGTTCACCGTCAGGATCTCGAGTGAATCCAGAGCACAGAAAGCTCGTTTTTGTTGCAAAAAAGAGGAAGCAGAGAAGAAAAGACAAACAGGAAGGCATCAATGGAGATAACTCACCCACAGTTCCACAGGAGAAGAGGGTTGTCCCTCTGCTCATGGTGTGGAGTTCACGCTGGGGACAGGCAAACAGAGGGGTTGACAGTCAGGGAGAGAGAAAATAAACCAAATGAAAGTCCAAATGTCTACCCTCACACAACAAACATCATCAATTTGGCACGTTTAAAACCCCTGTACATCTATAACAGTGTTGGAAAGTAAATAAGTACATTTACTTAAATGCAGATCTAAGGTACCTAGCTGAGCATGCCCATATTACATTTGACATCTATATTTACAGATTGATTTTAAAACCTATTTGAGCATATAAAATGTTATACAAATTTATTTTTAACAATAAGCACATTTCTTCACTATCACCATATTATTCTAGTAAGCTTATAAGGCCAGATTCACACAGAACTCATATAGTTGGCTCACAATTTACTTTTAAGATGATAATTTTACCTTCTAGAGAGTTTTATTAACAAAGTTCACACCACACCTGTGTTATTTAGGGAGCAGAAAACTTTTTTTCATCACACACACCTATCTTCTAATCAGACACCTATCCTTTCTCTCAGTTCATGTCTAACAGAAGGGTGGTGGCTGTCTACACAGAGGACAAAAGGAAAAATGTCTCAATACATTGCTCTGACTCACCTCAAGGTTATGACCACAAGAAAAAATGGTTTTTGAACATACAAAGACTAGCATCCAAAATAAAGGCTATTATGTTACAGAAGAACAAGATTAAATGAAACTTTTACTACTGTGAAATCTCAGCTCTTTAACAGTTACCCAACATGTGAAAAGGTAATATTAAACCAGGTAAACGTACAACTAAGCTGTGTAAAATCCTTTATATATTGACTGATTTAGCTTGCAGCCAAGGACCAATACGGTAGAAGAGGTGCTGAGACCTCATTACACTCTCAAGGTCCAAAAAAAGAGTGAGATTAGGAGGATACAAGGAAATAAAAGACAACCAAAGCCTTTTTTGGCCTACATGATAAAAATGATCAGTGATTCTGAGACATCCTGATGTTGATCTTCTTTAAAGAATTTTTCTGATACACCCCCACTTGGGAGACTGAAGGAATGTTTACACAAATTCTAAACAGAATGTAAAACTTCATAAGAGGTAGCAATATAACAGCGAGAAGACTGAACGCCTTGATCAGATTACAAATGTTACACAACTTTCCTGTGGTGATGTCTGAATGGAACAGCAATAGGTTTGTCCAGCTCTCTTTTTTACAGTCAATGGTAACATTAGGCCACCACAAACCTCCTGAACAGCTTCAATGTCTGAACTCTGCTGGAGGGATGAACACCATTCATCATTTCACTGCAACTTTAATGATTACTTTACTCACTGAAAATAAGAGAATATACTACAGATGATCTGTGGCTGGTTTGCTTTGTAAAAGACTCAGGTGGTTAAGGTTTCTCTCACCAGCCGTCTCTCGATGTTCTTGGACCTTACGTCATTGACACCCTTCTTCTTTTCCAGTGTTTTTGAGAAAATGATCACCATTGTAGCAGGCAGTTCTGCTCCACTCTGTTCAGGTGCAGAAGAAGGCCACGGGCAGCCATCTCAGATGTGGGTGAGGTTACATAGTGCATTTAGGTGAAACGAACCGTTTGATGACCTCCCATTTGCAGAGCAGCCCTCAAATCCTGATGATGTGAGGGAGGGAGGTGTCTCTCACAATCCCTGTGTTAACACAAAGAAATACATGGAGAGAGAAAAAGATACCCATTTAAATATTGCTACTCAAGGTTTTCTTCTAAAGGTTTATATTTAGGGCATTATCTCAACATGACAGAACATTACAACACATTTTTCACTGCATCTGAAGGTACAAAATTTAGAGGACAAAAAGAAAATACATTTTTCATGCTGGTATAATGCTTAGAACTGAAGGAAATCTAACCACGCTGTAACAGAAGGCAAAGTTTTACTAATCAAGGACAATCCAAGGCATTACATGACTACAGATGTGTCTGGAAGAAAACAAATTAATAAAACATACTGTAACATAGGCTAGTTTCAGGAAGGAGCCGGACATCCAAGCTGCTGTTTCTGTGCTCTCCTGAGACCAGGGAAGCCGCTCTTTTATTATAAACCCCACATGGCAACAGCACTGACAGGCAGAACACTCTCAAATAAGCCAAAACTCAGGAGCACAACTTGCAAAGATCCTGCCCTGTCTGGCATTGGTGGGGATCCCACCAGATGCTTCCCCCAAAGGCATTCTGGGGGACCCCGCCAAGCAACTCTCCACCCCAATGCTACAGTACACTATAAGGAACTGTGGTTGCCCCATCAACTGCATGAACTTGCAGATGGTAAAGCACAGCCAGTAGCTGGTACAGTAAACAACCGCTTAAAATGCTTGGAGGGAGTTCTATGTAAGGCAGATGGTCCATATGCCCTTTCTGGGCAAACATTCCTGATCATGTTCGCTCTAGGCAGCCTTTCTGATGCTATTTAATGCATGGGAAAGATCTAGGGTTATGATAGGTAGGCTGAGTTATGCTCACTTTATCCTTAGTCTGGGTGGAAAAAGTAGAAAGTAGGAGGAGTAGGCTGCAGCAACTTTAGGCTTTAGTGTTTCTCATAATTTGCCAACCACCAAACACACGGACAGCATCCAATTAGAGTGTAACAGCACAGTTCAGATCTCCCAATCAACTGCTGGCTACAGGCAGCTTTCTGCTGTGGAGCAACACATGAGGCCAATAGATGTTCCACGCCTACCATGTCATGGTGCCCGTGTAAAATGTGGTTACATGTTACTGTATGTAAGGTTCCCACACTTTTATAAACATGCTTTAGAGAGAAGGATGCAAGTGTACAGTGGGTATTAAAGGACTCTGTGGGACCACAAAAAGGGACATTGATAAAAGATGAGAACCAGTCTAGTCATGTCTTATTCCTTCAACACGTCACCCCTATACCTTCCTTCTTCTCCAGATCCACGACTTTGTGAAAACTAAATGTTTAATGTAGGCCTGCCTCAAACCAACTGCTAGCATATGACTCCCATTAACTTCATTTATCTGGGAGAGTCAGTGGAGCACAACTGGGCCTCCACAGGCAAGGGGGTCTGGTACTGGGAGTCAGAAGAGGAGGGAATGTTCTTGTTCTGTTTTGCTGATTACTTTACCGATTGGGACTGACACTGAGTAATGGGTGTGGCAATGTAACAGAGTTTGTACAGAGTAGGAGATGGGGAGCAGGATGGTCATTTGTAAAGGTTGTTACAGTGCGCTGTTTAACTAATGGAAGTGTGATACGTTCATGCAGGGCTGAAAAACCACCTCAGTGGCAATTACGAGGACATGTGCAGGTTAGCATAAACAAACATTCACGTACAGACCTGCTTACTTGTGTGCATGTGTAGCAACTGGCAAGTGGGGTCATGAGAGAGGGCAAGCCGAGTGTGAATTCAACCCTGGAGCCATGCTTACTTAATGAACCGGCTCTTCATGATGGGGAAACCAGAGCTTAATGGAAAGAGAACTGTAAAGCATCCATTGGCCAGATCAGATTTTTACAGCTTAAAGTGAGTCTCCTTGTTGAATACATCTGTTTGTAAAAGCGCTGTTTGACTTACTGTCATTCTAAAGAAAATCCAGGAAGATCAGTTTGCAGCACCTACAGGTTTGACGAGCAACTGTTACAATAACCATTTCCATTACGTGGGGTGTTAGATTTTTTTCTCACAAGCTCAATTACACCCTTCACTGAAAATTGTTCAAAAGTCAGTTATCTTAAAGCTAAGCAATCAGCAAATGACTCACCACATCGCTGGTTTCTCTTATAATGTACAGAATAATTTAAATAAGGCATTGCTACAGTACTTGTCTCTTCAGATTAGTTTAAGTAGAACAAATGTGACATTTTCAGGACATCTGCCATGTTTTTCCAGTTTGAAAATCAGCAAGCAGTGGTCTGGAGTACAGGCTTATGGAGTCAGTCATTTACTTATTCTACATCCTATTTGCAGTCAAGTCTTTCCCAAGCAAATGTCCACTGAGCCTGGCAGCTCTCATATCATATTTGATTAGAACTTGGGTTTGTGCCCATATAACATTGTATATTCAAGTAAAAAAAAAAAAAAAAATAATAAAATAAAAATGTGACCTCTATAACAGACTAAAATCTAGTAATGCTAAGTCAGATTAGTGTTTGCTGGGGTGCAGACAGCAGCTCTTGGCTCACAAAAGCCAATGACTCTGGAGGGCAGCTAAGATAATATGGCTCTTTGCCCAGGCTGTGATTTGTACAGGCAGATGAATAGAAGCCTATTTGGGGCCCCCTAAAGTTCTGTGACAGAGTGTTTGGTGTCCATCACCAATTGGCTCTGGTTACTGCATACTTGTGCGGAGCGCGTCTGGTGTCAAGACTTTGATCGGTGGCTGCAGCTGAAAGAAACATTCATTTCATACTAATGAAATAAAGACCAAACAAACAAAATACTGCATGGCTGACCACAAGCAAAAAAACCTTGTGCTTGAGAATGTTTTGTTTTTTTAGTTAAATGTTAGCATATTGATAGTTTCCCTAATCAGACTAGCACTGCTAGAATACATTTTATAGTGCAAGAAGCCAGATGTTGACATATGGCTATGGGAAACAAAATTCAAATGCCAAAAAGAAAAATTTTGCATTTTTTTATATAATCAGAGTTTAATACAAGTAAGGACCATCCTTTTGTGAAAGCCTGTGGCACGAATTTTTAATTCAGGAAGAACACACAGCCACCCTTCTCTCATATAATGTGGCCTAGCCCGTAAAAATGGTCCTAGGGAGGTCAAGGCATACCACTGAATCCTCTGGCCATCACCCTAGTACCCACTGGCAGGGGAACACTGGCCAAGAACAACACACCATCACACCACTAGATCTTCAGAAGTGCATAAACAATGAAGTGCTCATTCAGTCAAACTTTATGCGTTGTCAGTAGCCAGGTTCTGGCCTCCTTCTGCAGATTCCCCTGAACGTAATGACAGTGACAAATCAACTTCTACATAAACACAGTCAGCACTTAAAGTCCCTACTTAATGAGTCATAAAGAGATCATACACTTTGTTTTTTTTAATTTGGAATAGGAGTGGTTGCCTATAGCAGCAATGAAAACGGAAGCAGAAACCAAAACTTAATTTATTGAGCCCTTGACAGTCAACCTGAAAGCCCAGATAATACAACATCTTCTCACTGCTTAGGTGGCATAAAGATGCATTAGCATAACACGCATATGAAAGCACTCTTCTCTTTGCAGTATATGGGCTCCGCTTCCCTTGTGGTCACATGCCGCTGTTAAATTGGGTGTGGAAAGTACTGAACATGCGGTAGCACCCCCCCCCCCCCCCCCCCACAAGTGATATCCATAAAGCATTGTGACAGTTAACTCACGTACACATTTTTAGCCCTCCTGCTTTCAAAAAAAAAAAAAAAAAAGGAACTCAAACCAATACAAAACATGACATCACATCATACTCTATATCAACATTTACTGTTGGCAAGATGCGTCATAAAGCTTGATCTCACTCTGTTTATGCACTGTAAATGCAATGCCTAAAAATATTTGCTGTTACATTTACTACCAGAGCAAAAGCATATAGGCAATGTACAACATGCAAAAAGTATCTAGTCACTCGAACAAACAAAAGCCCCTGATATTACTCAGTAATACTGGACTTACTTCCTAAGACAGTACACCGTTTTAATAGGTAGCCATAGTAACCATACACCAAACGAAGCACAACAGTGACAACTGATGAAGTGAGAAAGGCAGACATCACACTGCTAGTAAAGAATAATATCTGAACAGGTAGTCTTTACCATTGAGTGTGTTTGTTAGTGAAAACTGGTCTATGGATTAAGGACAGTTTTCTAAGCTGCAGCATGGTGCCATGAAACCTGCCCCCCCCCCAAAAAAAAGTTCTCTATTCATGCAGCCTGAAATTTATTCAGAATCAAACCCTGCTTCTTAGACCAAGGCCTCGTTAGGTGGCATCCCAAGAAGCTTGACAGGCATAAGATCAGGTGTTTCAGTGCGAGTAAAGGGCGGTAGGGGCCCTTCTGCACTCTGGAGTGACCCTGACATGCCACAACTCTTCATACACCAGGTACCCCCCTAATTACACTACCCTCCATCAGTCCTCACCTTTCTGCCTGGGTGCCTGTTCTGTTCTGTATACACTAACCAGAGTCCTAATCCATCAGGAATACATTACCGCTAGCAGTCCCCAGCTCAGTAAGGGGGACCACTCCTATGCTGTGTAAGCAAGTGATGTTCTACAGGTTGTCCCTGCCAGTCCACCAATAAAGTGACATTACTGCCATTGCATATCACCATGTTGACACTGGAGGTGTGTTATGGGTGTATATGTGTGGAAGTATGTCAGAAAGAAAACTGAGCAGCATACCATCGGTCTATTCATACAAGTCGAGGGTGGGGGGGGGCTCAGCTCACCATATGGGAGAAGTCAAGATTTGAAAGCCAACTGAAGGTATGTCATTTAGGTTTTCACTGAAGAACCACCTCCAGACTACCATTTACACAGCTAAGGGTACTGTAAAATGAAAAATGCAGGAGTTATTCATTCTACTGAAATAAGAAAAAAGAAAAACCCCCCCCCCCCCCCCCCCTTTGACTTATATTCTTTAAAATGATATACTGCACTGCCCTAAATCTACTTCCTGACATCCTACAGTAAATCAGCTCATCCGCTGCCAGTAAGCTAATTGGTTGCAAATCTTGCTGCATGCTGGTATTCAGCCTTGTGCTGCTGTTTGCAATGACCTGCAGGTATATGTAAAACATACTGACAGACTCCAACCCAACTCCTGAAAGCAAATTAGAATAAACCATAGAAGCCTACAACCAGAAGTTATGTATTTTACCATGATAATTGGCCTTCTTTGTGCAAGCAGGATTGTCAGGACACACTGGTTCTCTGCCTGTTCTCAAGCCTAGGCTTGCACAAAGAGCCACTTTTGGAGGATACAACATCAATTGTCAGCTTTATATAAGGAAAAGCCATTGCAGTTAGCTGGAAAAGGTCTATATCTGGGAGCAGGTGGTAAAGTTTTGTCACCACTGTGAAAAACAGGTTCTAAAAATGCATTAAATCAGACCGTCTGTGCAAACACAAATAGAAGCTTTCAATTCTCTTTTTACCTCGGGATGCAATTGGAGGATTGCTACACCAGACTAGATCTACAGAAAAGCTACAGTATGTCCACAAAGCATGATTCACACATAAGCTATGTGATGGCTGACATTTTGGAGGAGAAGCTAATCAAAAACAGCTGAGGAAAATAAACAAAAAATGTCAACCATTGTCATTCAAACCAGAAGTGTTATGATGACAAGGAAACAAAATATTAGCTCCTCTGGACTATGGGTTTTCCCAAAGAACACAGGCTACACACACACACACCCACCCCCAACACACCCTCATTTGCATGCAACACTTTAATACAATTGAACATGGGCTATGCAAACAAACTGATCAGCAAATCCATGGCAGTGAAGCCCTTTCTCTTTTTTCAGGTGGAAATAAAACTGAGACCTCATGGGTATAGAGCTGCTTATTTGAGAGTTAAAAAGCAACAGCAGAGTAGACTACTTTTTTGGTAACTTCAGGACCAAACCTAGTTAAAGCTACAATCTAATACAACAACCCTGCAATAAATCCTCCCTTCATGTGGTGATAATGTTCAATTTTTATTGAACCTGCTTCAGAGAGGTGTTGACTGAACTGTATGGTCATTTGAAATATGTAGTTTGTATTTTCTTATACCAACAGGTGTATGATTCTGTCCACCCTATTTACATACATCAGTTAAGCTAGGGCTAAATAGTGTTAGTTTTAGCTAGGTGTGCCTAATAAACTGGCCACTGAGTGCTGGAACACCACTGTGGGATGTGTTGATAGAAGCATTCCTATTGCATCCCAGAACACGTTTAATTTCTAAGTCAAGTCTACTGCCTGTCTTTGGGGGTTGGGGGAGTGCTTCTCTGGTGCATGCGAGAATGCCTCTTTTCTTCTTAGTTGATGGTCTCTGGCTCTGTCGGTGTTGAGATGCCAGACTTACAAATCATGTTAATGCAGAAGGAATACCCAAAAAGAAGAGTAACAGCACTGATACAAATATACTGTCAAAGTTAAATAACCAATAAGCATTTGGTTTTAACTCCCTGACATGGTGCGAGTTTCAGTGGGTTTGAAGCAGCAGCAGTTATGACTGCAGAGCACAGAGGAGAAGAAAAGGAAGCTTTGAGATGAATAGTGTAGCACGGAGGCACAGACAGGCATGGCTAATAATTCTTTTCTGGTAGCTTTGCATAATGCCTCTGGCCAGAGAATGAGTGAAAAGAGTAGAAACACAGTATTAGAGAACCAAAAAGACAAATAACCAGAAAAAAAAATGTATGGCTGAAATATACAGAAATGCAGTAAGCAAGAAACAGAGAGGGAAAGTGGAAGCATGTGTGTCAGTGTGTGGCCTGAGTGAGAGTTGTGCACAGAGAGAGAATGGATCAGTGGCTTGCTCAGCACACAGGCACACAGCTGCCCACTGACAGAATGGGGCTCTAATAGAGCCTTCTGCATGCAACACAAAGACGTTGCAAACATGCACGTCTTAAACACACAGACACCCCCTTTAAAAACCCACCAGCCTTAACTGCTACCATAAATTATATCTACTTTATGTCCAAAATAATTCTACATACAAACAATGCCAGAACTGTTGTCAAGTACAACTGCAGTGCATCAACTTGTGCTTTACTAAAAAGAAAATGTGATTATCAACAACTGTGCTCTTGGACAGGCATTAAAATGCCAGTAATGCAACCAGTCCAAAACACTTGACCCCATCCTTATTTGATAAAATCAACAGGTACAGTAAACAACACATTTGCAGATCCAAAATGAACAAAGGTTTTTTTGTTGTTTTTTTTTTAGCTGCACCAATATTTCTCAGGCATTCTTAACACTTTGCTTGTAATTAGACACTAGAGCAGATATGATTCAATCTCTGCATTTCCCTTCCACCCTGAATGTCAGCTACACCTGCATCTGTGAGCGTTTTCTGAGCAGGATTCTTGACAACTACTGACATTTCCTGTTCAGTTGTTAATCAAATTAGCCAGCTACCCCTGCAAGTCAAGGACAATGCTGCTATAGCTGAAGAAACATTTCCAGGGATTTTAAAATTAGGGCACCTGGAACCAAACCTGTTCTTCATGGTTTTGTGTTTATGGTGTCCACAAACATCAACTAACTGCTGTTCAATTGCTGAAAGGACAAAATATAAAACACCCACAGTTACTTCCTAACTCACAAAGGAAACACCACTGAAAAAAGGCTGTTTTAATGCTTTGCTACCACAAGTCCTCCACATCTGTGTGTAACTGACCTTCATTTTTAACTAAAAAGGCAATAAGGTAGTTGTAAAATGAGAATGAACCCTGCTCTGTGATGAAGACACGGCCAGGAAGCTAACTTTTTCATATTGGGGGAAACTTTCTTTATGCTTGAAAATAATGAGTTTATTTTCCAAATGCTCTTATGGTCAAGCTCCGTTTCACTTTCACTATGTGTTTTAACATAAATTTAGTGCATGATTGTTATGTATAGCATTGGGCAGCAACAGTCAATATTTGGTTTGGATCTGTCTCACATTTTTACTCTGAAAATAGAAACAAAATTGAGGAATAAAGTGCCAACCTCAACTTGACCAAACAAATAACCATCTGATGAAGTATGCTCAGAAAAGCAGAGAATTATCAGTTAGAGATCACCATGTCAAAAGGAAACAAAACCCTAACTGTGTGTTGCAGTTTGGTGAGAGATATGAAACCAGGCCTTACAACGCAAAGCACTCAAACTTAATCTCGGTCTCTTCACATAAATTATGAGGAACTGTGTATGTTAGCGAGCTGCAAAGCTGCCACACAGCCTTTTCACCTGCAGGTACTGTATTTGGCCAAAGCCTGACCATTGCTACCATTGATAGATGGAGGAGAGTTTGCTGCCACATAGAACTTGTGTGTGTGTCCCCTCTGAAGCAGGTTATTAAGCAGAAATATGTAATACAGCACCTGGACTAGCAATAAAACTTCAAATTTAGACACAGAGATCCACCTGTAAACTCAACAACAGCTGATGTAGCCCTGAAGTGTAGACCAATAACGCAGCTGGAGTCAATAGCGTGACATCCATGAGGAGTGCTACATTCCACAAACTGCACTATGTGCAAAATGCCATTTTAAGTAATTTACTTTAAAAAGACCCTTTCTCTGATTTGTGGCCTAAAGTAACCCAGCAATGTTGTCATCTAATGTTTGTGTCACAGGGGAAACCCAGCATGAGCAGACAAAGTGAACTTCAGACCAGTGAAGGCAGAAACGTGCATGCTCCACCACAGTCATAACAATTGTGTAGCTGAACAAATGCCTTACTACCTGGCCGGGAGAGGCTCTTTCGGAGGTTAAGCCATCTTCAAAAAAAAGGCAAGCAGAAAAATCACAACGGTTTCTCGCAGCTGGAAACGTGACTCCAGCTTCTCCCACACAGGACTGAACAGAACTGCGTGAAACTAAGAGCTGCAGCTTTCAGCCATTCAGCATCAAGCGTAACCATATCCGCGTGTTGACTAACCATCTCGACGGGGGAACAGAGAAGAAGAGTGGTCGACTACAAAACCTTTTTTTAACCAAAGCGAATACTATGTTGGCGTACAGTTAAATCATTAAAGTGTAACCACTAATCGAAAACAACAAAACTTTAAAATGCTTGATCTCACGCGGCTAAAAGTTTTATTTACAACAAACACTCCACCCCTTCCGAGTTGGTATGTTCCTCTGTGGTCCTCCTCCAGGCATTTACAGTACCTATGCCACATTCAGTAGGCTACTGTGCTTTTCATTGATGTTAAAATAGATGTTGGCTTCGTAGTACTACGATGAAAGCCACATTTATAGAAATTAACCACCCAAGTTGCCATCATATTGTGCCCCTTGCTTGTTCCCTTCTCCGGGGAACTAAAACAAACAAACAAACAAAAAGAAACAAGAATGTTAGTAGTCAATGGTAATTATTTCACCTTTAAGGTCTTAAAAGTCCTGTATATCATCCTGAAAAAGGCAGACATGGTTTAAAAGAGGAGGCTTTCCCACTTCCACATTGGCTCTCCTGCCATGAAAAACTTCACAACAACATGGTGGAGTAATTCAATCAGTCCACAAAAATCCTATTAAGAAACCTTCAAACGTGTTTCCAGGGAGAGGGAATTAATAAAAACATAAATATTTGCAGTATCACAGTTGAGAGGTCAAAATAAAACCATGGTATTTATGCTGGCAGGACTGCCAGGGAGCTGTGGCATTGTGTCTATAACCTTAAGAGTGGAATAAACATGTAGCTTCAAACATTTGCCAACCCAAAAGCCATGAACGTGCTGACAGTTGTAAATATACAATAGGCTATAGTCCATTTCAAGCCAGCAACATTAACAGCTTTATGCTATTTTACTTAAGGATGGGTGGTAATAAAGTAGCTTTAAAGATGACAGATTTTTAAATAGTAGGGTATGGCATACACAAGTTTAGGATGTAGCCTATCCACTATTTTAAAATAAACAGATATTGGCCTATACATGATTACTGCCAAGACACTATCAGGGGACTGTGGTGTAGTTTATTTCTTAGCAACATGAAATGAATAGGCTACAGTATATTCCAAAAGGTAACTTCAGTACATATTAACATCTAATGACAGTGACACAATTAAAAACAACCCAATAAGAAGAACTGGAGCTCACTGCAGATTTCACTTCATGGGAAAATCTCTGTGAGAGCTGTGAATGTAGGCATGATATGCACATCCAGGCAGGATATCCAGAGCCTTGTAAAATTCCAGGCAGTAATTCTTGTAAATCTTGCATGTGTTTATTCAACAGCATGCCTCAACATCAAGGGCTCCCATTGGGCCACTGGCCCAGCTTGCAATTAGGATCCAGAGTTTTGCAGTTATTAATGATGCCATCGAGGAAATAGCATGAGGTTCTCTGCTCACAGAAGACATGGTGTCTTATTTATTCATTCTGTCAGAAGCCCTCAATTATACTCCTCAGGTCCCCAAGCTCTGCTAGTGTCCAGTTTGGCCAATTATGTAGGGGCTATTTTTCACATGACATTAAAGATGGATACAGTTCTCTACCTGATAAGACAGAACAGTGGTTCTCAAACCTATGGGTCGGAGATCTTGATGGGGGGTCCCTGCTAAATCTGCCAAGATGTTATAAGATGATTTATGGATAAGGAAAGACAAAATCATTGTCTGGCTGACTTTTTTTTTGTTGTTTTTTTTTTGCCACAAATAACTTCAGGAAAGCAAAATTACAGTCAGACAGTCAGTGGGTGCACAAGGGTGAAGAATTCACACATGAAGGCTTCTTGATGCTACTATATATATATATATATAAACAATCTTAAAAACTGAAATTGAATGAAACAACCTTGTTTGTACTAATTTATTACATTTCATACAGTGTATATGTAAAATCATCCCCCTCCACTGCATTATACTATATGCCAGTTTAATTCTACTTAAAAAAAAAAAAAACAACAACAACATAATCAGTTCTTGTATGAAAATGCTTAATGTACACAAATACTATGCATATCACAGAAACAAACAAACAAAAAATACTGCAGAAAAAAGAAAAGACAAATATCATTTGTGATCATGAATCAATGCACTCGCTTGAAGATCAGTGCTGTGACACTGTGGCCTGTCTTGCCTCCAAATTGGAAACTGGGTGTAGGTAACTCCTGTACAAACTCAAGTCCTGTGAGGCAACACAGATAAAATGTGCAGGTTAAGAAATAAACATCATGCAAACTCCCACAACATCAGATGCCTAGAATCTGTGCCTAAATAGGGGTGAATGAAGAACCATCTATCTGCCATCTGTGCTGCTTCCTGAGTCTAGCAAAGACTATCAGTGTGACAGATGTGATTTCATGGCCTTGTGGCCCTCTGCAGGCTCGCCACTGTGACTACACTAAGACCAGTGACGGGTAATGGAAATTTTGACTTGACAAGGCTGTTGTTGCCTGCATCTCAACAACCTACCAAGTAACTGCCAAGGCTGAGGAATTGTGTTTGTGTTTTGACCAAGGGTCAGGCAACAAAACTCCCAGATATCAGATGTTATATGTCAGAGAGATAACTCTAAATCACACTGATGCATGTTTTTCTAATGTTTTAACCCATTTATAACCTGGCAGTCCTTTTTAAAATAGATTTTAAGGAATTTTCTCTCCACTGTGCCAATTTTTTCACCACTTTTGTAAGACACAAACATTACTAAAATAATCCACCACAGGATATACAATGCCAGAATTTAACATAGAGGGGACTAGAGACATTTTCTAAAAAAAAAAATAAATTAAATAAAATAAAAAATCTGCCATCTTGCTACAGAAAGTCAAAAATGGATTTTAATAAAGCTCAAAAAGCCATTGATAAAGATTATATGGATTACAATGCTTTATAAACATATCTCCAATGTATTCTTCTTAATTAAATGAAATGTAAAGCTTGTAGCTATTTTCAAACCAGGGACTACTTTCTCATTTGCGTCACTGAACTGATAAAAAAATAATTAATTTCAGTGTTTCCACTCACCTTCACAGAACCTGTCCAGCAGCTGCTCTTTTGTCCAGTTACAGGAAGTGATAGCAAAGAATCCTTTGTCCTTAAGAGCATCCTTTAGAGCTTGGACATAGAGTTTTTTGCCCTCCTCCCTGTTGTCTGGGTTCAGACTTATCGCATCAAATGTTCCTTTGTCAATGCAGATATCAAAGCCCTTTAGTTCCCCTTGACAGTTTAAGAAATCCATCTCCTAAGATAAAGAAAAATTAGAAGGGAGTTTGTCTGCTGACAGCCCCAGTACAAACATACAATATGGTGCCTATTGTTTAGTCTGACTCTTTAGATGTCAGTTGACCTACAGAGTTACCTGTAGGAGAAATCTTTCAGTACTAACCAAGATGAAATGTGTTCTACCTCACTGGATCACTTTAAAGCTAAATTCCATCTGCTGACATGAGAGCAGTTAAATCCGCAGAGGTTGCTGACCTACCATACCACCAGTGAAAGGACCTCTTTGTCTGGACAGAGGGTGAAACACCAGATCTCTGGGGTGAGTTCAAGAACCATATACTCACTAACCCTGGGACACAAAATGTGAGATTTATAGAGGAGGACCAACAGTGATTCACTGGGGACAATAATGTCTATATGTTGGAACTGACCTGAGTCCAGTTTTTTTTTTAAATGGAAAAACCTGAATGGTGTGAAAGAATGTATTAAAGGGAAGTGTCAAAGCAGGAGCAGACAGTGACTAATGTAAATGGAGACAGTGCTCAACACAGACACAAAGTTTAAGGGTAGATCTGACAAGGGAGATTTTTTTAATCATATGACTTAAACGCTTTACACTCCCCCAGACTCCATATGCACACAAACACATTCACACCACTATTCTGCAGTACTGAAGAAATAAACAAGATGCCAACATAACATTTCTCTCTCTCTCATGCACACTCACACAGTGCTCCCCTGTCCAGCTTAGGTCAATATTGGTTTCAATGGCAGGGTTCCTTCTCAAGCAAAGCACACACCATCACATGTGTGTGAAGCATATAACATACATGAAATTGTATTATGCACACAGGAGACAGAAATCTCACTCATCATATCCCTGTTTTTCTTGCATACATGTTAGTAAATGTGTTAAATCCTGCTGATTCATTTAGGGTTTGAGATGGGTTTGTCTGACAGATGGTCAGATTTCCATTACATTCAAGGCTTTCTTCAAACCATCTCACCCACATGATAAAAACAGGGGAGACTACTCTAACCTTCCCAGGTTGGCATGCAATGCTGAAAGCTATTTTGTATCATTTACAGTTAGAAATGAAAAGGATTCATTTTGTATCAATGTGTGGTTTGTGCATGGCATCAGATTAACCAGATGCATTAAAATATTATGCTGAAGCACTTAAGTGAGTTTAATGTTTGCAGAAAATACTGATTCATGCTGTATACCTAGCCCTACAAATGTTTATATAGTGTACCAGTGATCAAATAAAAGTGTAAACTTTATACATCAGTGTGCTGATGGGCACTTTAGCGTGGAAAAAAAAAATCTAAAAACATACAGTCTGCCATAATGCTATCTTAACTATTGGTCACTTTCTTATAACAGTAAATAGTGGATTTGAAGAGAATGTAGTCCCTGTGATTGCTGAATGTGTAAGTTAACTATAACTCTATAATTCTGATTACAAACGAGACTGAACCCACCTTTACAGTGACATCTGCCAAGTCCTCTGCCTGCAGAACATTTCTGGCCAGTTCCACAGATGCTGGAGAATAATCTATACCTGTCAGATTCCTGTATCCATGCCTAGCCTTGACACACACAAAAAAGCACAATAAATGAAGAACAACATTTAAAAACTGTTATAGAAATGTCAGGGAGAAGTTTTAGTAGTTTGCAGCAAACCTTCCTGTCATTTAAAATTATTCAAAGACTCAACATATCTATATCAAAAATACATTTTCTACGTAACCTCTAGTGCTATGTAGTCATGCAGCTTCGTTTTGAGAGTGCCAAGACTTCTGCCATCACCACAATACAATGGAATGGATGGCGTACTGATTGCAGCTTTTCTGTATCTACATTTTCCATGGATACTGTTCATGGAAACAGTATCCATGGAAAATTTGTTATAAGTGTGTTTATCTGACCCTTAAAGCACACTTGAATGAAGTGCCCAAAAAATTAAAATCATAATAGTGTCAAATTTTATTTCAATCTGCTCGCACCAGTTCAACTAAAAAGGCTCCATTTCCTGTGCCAATGTCCAGAATAGCAGCGTTTTCTGGGATCTTAGCCTTGTCCATCCATCGTAGCATGCGGCTCATGCTTTCCTCACCAAACCTTACAAGAAGATGGAAACACAAACGTCAGCTACAGTATGCTCACTGCTAAACATACTGCAATAAACAGGTCTCTTGTTAGAAATCACCACATTTTTTTCTTGACATTAATCATGTCTGGGCCACTACAATAACCACTGAAATTGTATACTTCTGGAAATGACCATGCAAGCCTAATGTTGATTACCATATCTCACCAACATCTCCAATGTCTTTAAATGTCTCAAGTTCTTTTTGGTATACATCTTCCCAGCTGCAGAAAAAGACAGTTGTTGACAATTAGTTACATAGGCACTGTTAGGACAGATGGCATATTGTTACAACAGGACATCATGAAGTGTAAAAACATCTAATATGACAATTGATGATTTGCTATCCTTCGATTATAATCGAAAAATCAACTAATCTTCCAACTCCGCTCCATTTATCTGACAGCTAATTTCAACTTTCGTTTTGCTGTTAACACTTCCTGCTGGACGCATGAACTTGGTTAAAATTGCGCTCTTATTCATTTAATTCAATGACTAAATGAATAATGCTTCCCAGTGAAAAACCTATAACATATTTTGAAAGAGGTAACGTTTTATCACCTAGCTTTGGCATAGCCTCTTAAGCTAGGCAGATCACACAGCCATAATCACAACACTTACAATTCTTTAGTTCCGAGTTGTGAAGGTGGAAAATCGGTATCTGAGCATTTGTCTTCCTCCGAGTCCGAGACATTTTCACAACAATGTGTACTTTCTGTAGCTTCCTCCATGCTGGATAGGACGCTGTAGCCTACGATTCCCACAAGACATTGTGTTTGAGGAACGTGCCTGCGACCGCGGGGGGCAATGGGATTGATAGGGATGTTTCCATCATGGCGGCATCCATTTCAGGTTATACTTTTAGTTCTGTGTGTTATCACAGCGCTAACAGCAACTCAGATCATGTAAGTATTCAAAATGTTGTTGACAGACGATCATGTAGTGGCTGCTGAAGTATGCTTAGCTCAGCGATGTGCCTCACTGTTCCCCAACGTCATTAATTTGTGTTGTTTTCTAGTGTCATCTTCCTGTTGCTGGCTAGTTATTGCAGGTTCCGTCTATTTACCGGCATGTATGATTTAATAGCCTGTATAATTACAGCAACGTAAAGACAAGATTAATAAGTTTTCAGTTATCTGATGTGTTATAGCTACACACGTGTAGACATAACATTAGTTACAAAGAGCAATATCTATGAAAATCTGCTACATTATTTTGAGAAATGCTACTGGGAAAGTGTGAGTTCCAGGAAATACTCAGTAGTTAGCTTCTTAACATGTAAGCTAAGCCAGCAAGTCAAACGACTTCCGTGTGTCGGAGCTGCTAATGTCTACAGCCCACCTGATTGTTAGCGGTTTAGTGTGTCATTAAAAACAAGACGCAAATGTATTAATTTTCCAAACAAGATCTCACAAATCCCTTTTGTTTTGTTCTTTTTGCATTGCTACACTAGATTGTAGCCACGAAAGGCAGCTAATATTAGTTGCATTTAAATCAGTAACGTCTAACAAAGTGATTGATATATGCTTTAGCACTGTAGAAACACAGTGGATGAGAAATGTTTTGTGATCGTGGGGAACCTTTCACACTAGCGGTAGAGCAAACCAAGCTAATGTCAGCACTGTTTACATTTCTTTCTGGCAAGACTTTAGGAGTCGATCTGTTCAGGTGAATAGCTGTTAGCGTTAATGATACTTACAAGTTTGCCTGCATTCCTAACATAAGCAAAAGGAGCAAGGCAGCACCATTGTTTACCAGCTGCTAGACACTTCTCAGTGAAGTAAAGGGCGTCATTTATTGACTGAACAAAAAGCTCAATTGTTATATGACGAAATGTCCTGATTATGATCCAGTGTTTATCATACTTGGTGTTATATTGTCGCTCTGTATGCACAGTGCCATACACATAGGTTTTAAATGAAAAACATATGCATGTGACTGGCCTATTCTGTTTCATGCCCCAGGTTAGATTACTGTAATGCTGCAATTAATGATTTTTAAAATTGGTTAACCTGTCTATTTTTGCATAATGATTAAGTGTTTGGTAAAATCTCTTAACCAGTCAAAATTTCCCTGAGCTCAAGCTGATGACCTGAAATTTTTTATATAATTACATTTTTATCAGTATAAAGCAGAAAAAAGCTAAATTGTTTTTGATTAATTTTATGTCAAATTGATTAATGGACTAATTGTGTCATGTTAACCATAGTTTTATCAATGTATTTGTATAGGAAGGCTTCCTGTTAGGGGAAGTAAGGCAAGAAGAAACTGTCAGCATCAGTGACACACAGATCAGCAGTGCAGAATTACTCCAGATAGTAGGTAGGTAAGCCTTGAAACAGACAAACAGAAACCTTGTAGCATGTTAAGCAGTAAGTGACAAGCAATTGATTAATGCCTGTCACAGCAGCCTCAAGAGACACTTAATACATTTAACAGAACATTTTGACATGCCACAGCAGGAAAAGCACTGGTGTAAATAACACAATAAGTGATGACTTAATTCTGCTTAACTGCTGCATTAATTTCAGGGTCCTGGTGTTGTGCATGTAGGCTCATTGTCACACTGACATGCTTAATGGGACACTTGATTATAACAGAGCCATCGTTAATGTCATTAGCAACATCTGTGCTTTTTCTACTTTACCATGTCAAATGTATGCTGTGAAAAAGCCCTATTACCAATGTCACAGAAGTGTGCGAGTTTATGTTAATGACATCTTAAAATGTAATATTTACTTGATACATGATTTTAAACTAGGAAAATTGAAACAAAAAGCCAACATAACAGAAACACCTCTGCTTTCACTGTTTGTATGTCCTTAAGTGGAAAAACAGTCATTTCTTTGGACATGAATTTCAGGTATCTGCATAAATATAGTGAATAGTACCCGTGTAAATGACATAAGGTTGTGGGATTACTCTGAATTACATTTGAGTTATGCCCAAATAATGCTATATAACAGTGTAAAGTATATGTCACAATTTATTCCCAACAGAAATCCATAATCATGATCCTTGTGCACAGTTATTTAGGTAAGTTATGAACTTTTTATTCTCAAACAGCTACTGGTATCATCAGATACCAATGCACATGGTTAGAGCGGGATAAAAAAAAACTATTTTCTGATTAATCTTTTTTTCTTTTTCTTTTTTTTTTTTAATGTGACTTACATGATACCGGTTCTTAAAATCTCCACGTTGATATTTGCATTTGTACCTTTTCCCATAAACTGTGACAGGAATAGTCAGGCCTATATTCTATGTGGAGCCACCACAGTTTATGGGCCTGTTGGATGGTTAGCTGACTCTCCCCTTATGAGGAGCTAACACTATCTAGTCAGCTGTCTGCTGATAACCTGTCAACAAAAACAGTGCAAATGAATTAGTGATCAGATTTCAGTTTGTGCCCCATCTGTGGTCAAACTTCTAGGCTAATTAAAGTGGATGTGTATACTTAGTTGACCTATTGACTGATAGGCCATGTGTTTAGCTGGAAGGCATAGCATTTAGTTTTTTAAATATACATAATAATTGTGTCCTAAGTGGTGGAGGTTTTTATGGACAGGCATAAAAATTTGAATACATCATGTTTTATTCATTTTGCAATTTTCAAAAATAATCTTTTTTTTGTAACTGGGAAATGTATTTACCGTTTAGCCTATAATGTGCACTTTTCACAGTTTCAGTTCAAGGAAATGTCAGTGTTGTCCACGTGTTGAATGAAGACCAAATTAAAGTTTTTTTTTCCAGATATTTGTATTATTTATAGGACTCATTGTTGGGTGCTTTTAACAGACCCCGATGAAGGCTTTATGCCTAAATATGTTTGTCTTTTTATTACAGTTGCTCAAAACACTGCAAGCATTGTTGGACTTTTGCTTTCCAGTTAGTTTTTCCTTGTCTGTGCACCTTGACAGTAGGTGAAGTTGTACCAGAACTTTCTGCTGCACAAAATTTAAGTTCCCAGTATAAATTCTGAATGTCACCATGTGTACTACTGTAGAACAGACACTGCTTTAGGGAGACAAAAATGGTCAAACACCAGTTTTGGCTGTAATTAAATATTTTAGGACGCCCTGACATAAAACTAGATAAAGGTTGAAATGGCATTTCACAAGAGGTATTAATCTAATGTATGTAAAGAGCCAGTTCTTAATATAATTTATGAAAATGTATTACTGTTGTTTTTCCCTCAGTAAAAAGCACCTTTGTGTAGAGAGGTTTGTATCATAGTTTTAGGTCACTACAATTGACAGTTTAAATGGATACCTCAGCTACTTGCATCTGTTTTAGCACTAGCTGAATTAATTTGACATTGGACAGTAGATGGCCCCATCTGACAAGATTGGGTCGTAGAAGTAGGCTAAGGTAGATGAGTAGGAACATGATGAATCAGTTTGAACTTACTTGTTTCCCCCCTTCTCATCAGCTTTTATGACTACGCAGGCAAAGTCAATGAAGAAAGTCTCAACAGCATTCTTAAAGACAGGAGAAAAGTGAGTGACTTTTTTTTAAATTTCAGGATACACTGTGGCTGATGTCCTATAAAATGTCTGTCATGCCCTCCTGTTATCATTCAACCAAAGCTATATGAAAATTAATCCATTAAACACATTCATTAAGATGCTGAGATGATTGTATTTTTACTGTTTCGATTGAAGTTTTATTATACACTAATGAGTGACTGCCAACTACTGTAAGTGCCACAAACTTGTGTATCTTAAAATATCAGTTAAAATTTGGTCTTCAGCGTCTCGTGTTCAACTGTTTTGGCATCTATTAACAGTGTACAGCAAATTGTACCATCTTCATTGTAAATGGAGTTTGGTTTAGTGAAACGTGATGGTCTTAAACTAATTTTAAAGCATTTGTTTCTTTGGTTGTGTAGAAGGTCATCGGTTGGTACCGGTTCCGGAGGAACACACAGCAGCAGATGTCATTCAGGGAACAGATCATTCACAAGCAGCTGACTCAGCTGCTTGGTGTGCCCGACCTTGTCTTCCTTCTTTTTAGCTTCATCTCCACCGCCAACAGTTCCACACACGCCCTGGAGTATGTGCTCTTCAGACCTAACCGCAGGTAATAATAAGCAAATGCACACACCGTCGCAGTATCTTATATCTAGTGACTGGTCAACAAGTATTTTCTGTAAATGGATCTGTATATAGGCCAGTAATAACTTCACTAAACAGACTGGGTGAAAGCAATTACATTAACACTCAGGTCCAGTGTCATCAAAAACGTTTCTGACACTACTTACATGTATTCCAGTTCATGAGTTCCATGCACTAAATTATGCAGATTTCAAATCAGAGAAAGAAAAGAGCTGTTTCTAGATTGAGTTAAGGCATTGATATCAGAAGAGAAAAAGTCAGACTGGTGCACCCTTTCTTTTGCATATTGTTCCCCATTAAACATGTATGTAATTATGCTTAGATTGTTAATAGTAGTGAATATATTTTCTTACTGGATTAAAAAAATATGTAAATGATACATTATCAACACTTGATAAAGTGACAAAATGATGAAACGGTAACAGTGCAAGATATTTGTCTCTTTTTGTAATATAAGTATATATATAATATAAGTGTAGTATTGGTTGTCTGAGAAGGTATGTCATGTTTTAACAGTACTAACTGGTCCTCTCCTCTCAGTAGGTACAACCAGAGGATCATCCTCACAATCCCAAACCTTGGCAATACAAGCCAACAGGAATACAAAGTCTCCTCAGTGCCCAACACCTCACTCAACTACGCCAAGGTCATCAAAGAACATGGGTAGGGTTTGGCCTCCTAACAGTTTCTTTGCACTGCACCCCTGTCGCTGCTAACTCACATTTTTAGCTCCGAGAGGGTTTGAACAGCCATGTGTGTCCTCTGATATGCATGTAAGTTGCAGCAGCCACCTGTTCTCACCTGACATTTGACTACAGCTTCACCTTGAGCGCATAACATGCAAATATCTATTTTGTAAATATCTTTCCAGGGCTGAATTCTTTGACAAAGATGGTGTGATGAAGGATATCCGAACAATTTTCCAAGTCTACAGTGCATTGCAAGATAAAGTGCAGGTGAGTTGGATGACAAATAACTGGTGGATTTTGCCTCAGAAATGTGAAATTGTTTGTTCACTAGATGACCCAAAGAAAGGTTTCAACTTGTGACTGTTTGTAGGCTGTGTGCGGGGAGGTAGAACAAAGTGAACGTGTGAAGGAGAAATTTCAAGAGGATGTGAACAAACTAAGACAACAAATTGCCTTCAGGAAACGCAAGACAGCAGAAGAGGAGAGGAGTACGTACATGTTATGGATATTGTAAAATGTATATATATATTTTTTGTGTGCTGGATTCAATTTCTGAAACATAAACTGGTTTAAGATTTATAGCAAAAACAAAAAAAATATTAAGCAAAGCATGCATAGCATTTCAGTTTTGTGAGTTACTCCCTTTCCCCTCAGGCTTTTTCTTTTAAGTATTACATCATTCACCCAGTAAACTCTGTGCTAACATTTTGCTAAGATTCACCCTGTAATGTGACCTTTTCATCTGTTACACTTTTTTACTCTTTTCCACAGTGCTTCATGATGCCCAAAATGCCAACTCCCATTCCACTCCAGAGGAGAACACAGAAGAACCTTCTGAAGTTTCCCTTATGTCCAGGATAACTTTCCACACACCCTCTGCTCCAGAGCGGCCCAGTACTTCACCTAACCCACCATCTTATGTTGACCTCTTGTCCCAGGATGACTCTCTGCTCTCTTCTTCTTCCCCACCTACCAGTGCTGCTCTATTGCCCCGGCCCCAAGCTGTGGGCTCTCCAGGACACCCCACCCCTGGTCCACTGAACATGAGCCTGGGTCTGGGCCCCAGCACCAGCTCTAATCCTGTCACCGCTCCCAGCACCCCGTATCTTGGCAATGGTGATGGATCAAGCTCTGACTCTTTAGACAGACAAGCTGCAGGACAGGAAGATGATGAAGAGGATGAGGACGATGAAGACGAGGACAGTAGCGAATATGAGAACTTAGTGAGTGAAACTGCTCATCTGCCAATGGCCTCTGCGAGCGTTTTAGCTCAAGGCCGACCAGCTGCCCTCAGTCCTGATGGGCATGCTCGTGGCTCACAGACCACATAGAAACATGCCACAACCTGTGTAAGGGACACAAATAAGTGGCACACCTTGAGGGGTGGACATCTTAAGCAATCAAAGATAGAACAAATATAGACAAAAGAAGTGCCAGTTCTAAAAGTGAAAGGCATGCACAAATGATGTCCCGCTGTACGTGTTTCTTTTTGTCTTAGTCTGATCTCCATTCTAAGGGGAAACCTTGGTAGGCTCTGCCGGCTTAACAGGTGTGTCTCGCTTGAGGAAAAGTGGTCTATTTTCTTTTTTCCTTTTCAGGAATATCTGGGTCCTTCAATGTGGATGTGTCTGGTTTCAGCATCAGAAGTGGACAATATGCAGTTTATGCCAACTGGTTGGCATGCTGGCTCCCTAAAAGACAGGCCATACTCTGCTCTTTTGTTTTGTTTAGTTTTTAACATTTGCATCACCAACTCTGGGCACCCACTTTTGCGCTTTTTCTTGCCTTCTTTTAAACAATCCATCTAAGATAAGCAAAGTGAAACTATCCTGTGGCCTTTGAACAGTTTTTTTAAATGAAGTAGGTTGTTCACTTCTTTATTTTTTAATGTGAAAATGAATATATAGTGTATGTAACTAGAATTTCTTGCACATCCACGTTTCTGTCTTTTCAATTAGGGCTTATTACTTGTTTTTCCATGTTTAAACAGTCTTTAATCATACAATTGCATATTTAAATGATGAACAATACATTTTAGACAAAATTTACTCTGCCATTTCTATAATGAGTGCTTTATAAACAAATATATATTATATATACTTAGATTAACAGTTAATCTAATTTAATTGACAAATTAATAGTTCTTGGATAACACTGAAATTGTATTCACTTTGCTGCACTTAACAAATCTAAGATTTCTTTCTTATTGTGCTATACCAATGCTGTCATGTTGTGCCACTTGAATAGTCCTCTGACCACCCTGAGCTAAACTCAGCTCAGCTTTTGTGTGTTGTATCGGGTTCACAGGGAAAAGACAATGTACTGTAGCTTTACTAACCAGATGATTGAGGTTCCTTTCTGCTGCTACAACACAGAGAGCTACCACTGAAAACTACATCTGTCTGTTCTTCATATAGAACCCTGGCTGCTACTTACACTTCGCTAACCATGCTGGTTGTCTCTAATACTGCTGGCCGTGATCATATAACCACTTCAATCTCACTTCTCACTTATTTGTTCTCTATTAAAGTCATAATAGAAGGCTCATATCCCCTGTAGTGTGTGAATTGTAACCTTTGGAAAAGAGAGCGAGCAATCACCTTCCTGTCTTGGCATAGTTGACAGAAGATCTCGTATTCTGACCTGGCTGGGTCAGTGTTGTGTGTATGGACCTGGATAATGTGATGAAAACATCATGACCTTGCTTCAGTATACAGTTCCTTCCATGAAGCACATTCGCAGATCTCTCTTGAGAGGGAACATTATAACTGACTTGTTTGCAATAATCATCTTCCAGTTTTTCTTTTATGCATCCCTTTATATGATGATGTGTTTTGTCTACCTGAAAAAAAATATTCACTACTTCCTAAAGCAGATTTTGTGTGGTTTGCCATTTGAAACTGGAATTATAGGGAATCTGTTCAGTGACCAAATACAATGTAAGACAAAGTTGGCATGATGAGCATGCCTGACATACAGAAGACTTTTTAAAAATTCCGCCCCCTTACATCTTCTTACTGAGTAACAAGGTGTAAATTAATTGGGCGCTGAAGGACACCTTCCTTGCATGAACTGGTCAATCCTAGACACGTATATTCAGCATGGACAGACATTTGCACTGCACATGGTGGTCATCTAATATAGTGATCAGCAGGTGGCACTGAGTTTGGAAATGAAGACATTTTGTGGTGGTCGAAGCCTTGCCTCATGAACAAGCTGAGCTTTCTTTACACAACCTGTTTGTATGTCTCTTTGTATGTTTGGGGTCATTTCATTTGCGCTTATGTGTAATGCCAATGCATCACTGATCTGGAACTGGCACTGAAAAAGTTACTTCATTATCACCCAGAGTAACACAATCACACAGTGATAAAAGAGGTGATGAAATCAGTTTGTTAGGAGTATGGTTTCCTTTGAGTACTGGAATATAATAAGAATATAAACAATGAATGTATAGTAGACAAGGGAGGGATTAGCCTTTTAAAAAAAAGCACTTACTGTATAAGCTTGTCTCAGCTGAGTGTCATGGTGGTACAGAGCAGCAGTTGGTTCTCACTCTTAATTGTGGTCCTCAGTCCCTAGATGATTGCTTTGTGAGTTTTTATTCAGGCGTGTAAACCTGACTTAAGGGCCAGAATGAAACCAAGCAGGGCTCTGGTGCTGAGGACCACTTGTATAAATCATGAGAGGACTAATATTGTTAGAATCCTAAACCTTTTAAGTTCCAACATAATACAGATATACACTCATGTACTATTACTTTATGGGGTGACCCTTTCCTTCCTTCTCCCAAGTGGGTCCATGGAAACATGAACATCTGCCTGAAGCACAAAGACCAGTACACAGCTTGGATCTTCTTGGCTTTTACCTGGATTTGTGTACTTGACAAAAGTAGACCAAGGACTTGCTTGGATGAGCACAGAAAATCAACGGGGATAATAAATGAGACATGCATATGAGATTTGATGTGCTTTTGTTTTCTTATTATGGTAAAGAGTACTACTTCAAGTGTGATTTTTGTGTGCTTTAAAATGTATGTTACAATAATGCCACCATTTTTAAACAAAACATGTTATGCAGGATAATGTGTCTAAAATGACTACATTTACTACAATTTTTTTGCCTCTTCTAAAGATTTGTGCAAAGCCATAACTCTTAATATATTTTGCCTGTGTGTCTCTGTGTACAAAACCTACAGGTGGTCCTGTCCATGAGTTTATACTGGAGTAGGGCGGGCTTCCCTTTAAAGTTGCATTCATGCATACATTTTCGCTGGCAAAGAAATTAGCCAACTTGGTAAAGTATTAATTGCGGTCCAAATACAATATCGGCTTTGGTTGGTGTAGATGCTCGTCAATAATAATAATTTTCATAATTCTGCTGTGATGAGTGTTGTTCAAGCTGTCATGCATTACTGCAGGATGCGTGCTGCAGTATTTTTACGATGACATCACCCTATCCCTTTAGAGGGGATACCACGTGGTTGCTTGGTAGAGATGCAAGAAATTACGATGTGCGAAATAAAAACAAATATGTTTTACAATAACTAACTGGGCCCATCGACTGAAAGAAAATCTCTAATCGCAGTTGTTGTTATTTCTGTGACATTTGGTTTTGTTTTGTTCACACGGAGCCCTTTAACAGTTGGAACGAGAACCGTAGAATCTGATTGGTCAGCGTCTAACGATACCCAAAAATCAGCCAATGAGCTTGCTGTGCAGATTCAGGTGGTAAATACTGACGCTGCCTCTGACTGTAACACGGCCCAGAGCACTCTGCTTTCCCCTCGTATCGTTTTTTTTTTTTTTTTTTTTTTTATATAAAGCCCTGCCTTGGTCGCTTCCCTTTCCCTGTTCCGCCATTAAAGCCCCTCAGGTTGGTGTTTGGAAACAGGGAACCAGACGAAAATGGTTTAAAGCGTCAAAGCATACGGTCGAGGGACGGGGCTTGGGGGGGAGTTTTTTTTTTCTTTTTTTCTTTTTGCTCCGTGGTATGTATGGACCTTCTGCCAACTAAACGGCGCCCAAAGAAGTAAATATGCGCCTAGTGTGGGCCAAGTGAGAGAAACCTCAGTTTGGATTGGAGTGGGTGTCTCTGCTCTGGGGACGGGGGGAATCTCGGGAAAGATCCGTTTGTTTAGGTTGCAGTCGGAAACTCGGAAGTGTAAACACAACAAACAAAAGGTAAGGGTTTTGACGCTAACCGACTTTCTTGTGGAGGTGTTAAGGGCCTTTCAGACGGGTATAGGCAGTGAGGGGCAAAACATAATCCCGGACTGTTAGCGAGCAGCCAGCCAGCCCCTTGCTTGACTGTCATTCCTGGCTGGCAACCGAACCGACGTCGCCTGATTGTCATTGAAGATAACTAACGCTAGCTAACAACTAGCCAACTCCGTTGGTCTGTTAACATCTAACATACGGTGTAGCGTAGCGTAGCGTTAGTTTCTTAGTTGTAAAAGCACATGAAAGTAGCCGACTACTCATGTGAATTCAGTTTGTTCAGAATGTATGAATTTCTTTAGCACGAAACGATTTGCTAGTCAAAATAAAGTGGCTGAACGTGACTATATTGGTTGGGCTCGTGTGCGCATATTATTTTTGGTAGCTTTTCTGTAATAAGCAGTTCTGGGGAAAACCTTATCTCGCAAAAAGTGTTTGTTTCTCTTACGGTGTGTTAGTAAACTTGGAGGCGTGGTGTAAACACTGTACAGTCGACTCCTCTCTGGGTGCCCCAGTGAGCTAGAGACATGTAGGTTGGATTATTTACTTTCCTATGTAACTAATAGGCTTTGGGGTGAATTCAGTTTCACTGCAATAGTAAGTGTCTTAACCAATCAGTCGCCACCTTGCTGGGTGGCTGGTTTCAACTGTCCTTGTCTCTTGTTAGCCAGCTCAGTTGTAGGGGACATATATGCATATACTGTAGCCTGTATTTGTTTAACGCCAGTGACAGGTTTTAGTAGAAGCGCTGAGGTGTTGCAAAACTCTAAACAATGTTCCCTTTGATTTTTGCTACAAATAAGTGTCAGATCAAGAGCAGACAGCACCGTGGATTTTTAGGGTGTTTGACAAAAAATGACCCAAGGTCTGAGTGGCACAGGTTGCTGTAATAAAGCATGCTTTATCTTGGTTTTGTGTAATGGTGCATTATTGAGAGCTTTACTAATGAAAACCTGGAAAATCAAGCACCTTAATTTGCCTGTTTGAATTCAGAATAATTTTTTTTAAGTGTGTTTTAATCCTTTTACATTTATAGATGTGCTTGCCTTTGACTTGTAAGAGATTCTGGTTTTGTCATTTTTCATCATACGGGGTGGTCAAGCTCAGTATGTTTATTTGACATAACAAAAACATGTTCTGTTGAAGTGTGAATTGTCCTGTCTCTCTCTCTCTCTCTCTCTCTCTTATTTATATATTTATTTTTTTGCACCCTAGTGTATTGGATCTGCCGAGCTGAGAGCCCCTCTGAACGGCAGGAAGCCTTCCTCAGCGGCGGTGCGACGATGACTGAGCTGGTTGCCAAGTGGGCCTGTGAATACTGCACATACAAGAACTGGCCGTCAGCCATCAAGTGCACCATGTGCCGCGCTCAGAGGCCCAGCGGGAGTGCCATCATTACTGAGGAGCCCTTCAAGAGCAGCCCTGCTCTGGATGCCAGTCTGCACCAGTGGGACCCAGCAGGCCTCAGCAACAGCCCATCCCAGGGGGGCTCCAGCTTACTTATTTGTCCAGACTCCAGTGCCCGACCTCGTGTTCGCATTTCTGATGTACCCGAGACTAGTAGCAAGTGGTCATGTCACATGTGCACCTATCTGAACTGGCCTCGGGCTATCCGTTGCACCCAGTGCCTGTGCCAGAGACAGCAGGCTCAGCAACAACAGCATGGGCAACATGCTGCCCATCAAAGATATTTTACCCAGCACCCACACAGCCCCACAGAATCACCCCAGACCTCAGGCTCTGGATGCCGCCCTGCTCCCCCACCCTGCACTACAGACCCTTGTGAGGAATATAATGATCGTAACAGGCTCAACACTCATGCACAGCACTGGACCTGCACTGCTTGCACTTATGAGAACTGGGCCAAGGCACTTAAGTGTGTGGTGTGTGACCACCCCAAGCCAAATAGTCTGCTAGCTGAACCCATTCAACTAGCATCAGAGCCTGAGAGCAAGCAACCTTCCTCAAAACTTAATGAACATGACATGGACAACAGGAGGGGTGTCGCTGGGGACGTGGTTGGGCAAGGAGTAGGGAGTGTGGTAGGTGGCCTGGGGGGTTGCAGTAGCAGCCACAGGAGGTCTCCCCCGACCTCGAAACGGGAGTCAGAGGTGAACATGGATTTTCAGAGGATTGAACTGGCGTCAGGAGCTGGGATCGGGAGCAAAGAGGAGTTGGAGGTGGATTTCAAAAAACTGAAGCAGATTAAGAACAGGATGAGAAGGACTGATTGGCTGTTCCTCAATGCCTGTGTTGGTGAGTTTCAAGAATATCTGATTTTACATAATCATCTTTTGTTGTAATTTGTTAGATCATGAGGTGGGCAGTGACTCAACTAAGTGATGTGGGCAGTGACTCAACTGAGTGATGTTAGGCAGGCCAACACTGAAATGGGATGGCCCAGAATTTCTGAGAATAATTTATGGTTTTACCATATGCAAGACAATTAGTTGTAATGACGTTATGTAGTTGATAATGATGATTCCAGATTGAATTCTTCTGATGCTGATATACTGTATAGGCTTAGAAATCATCTGCATTCAGCTAAAGTAAAACTTTCACAAGCAGCAAGTGTCTGGCCACCCACACTAGACTGGTGAATGTGAAGTGGGGGGAGGAAGAACATTTTAAGAACTAGTGATTGCTTGCTCTCATCACTATCTCACTCCTCCTGCCTTTGCCATGGATACTTAGAGTTTGTTCTACAGACCCTGCTGCTATATTTATCAAAACAAAGGAATTATCTGAATGTCAGAGAAACATTAATTATACAGTTTCCCAGAGCACAAGTATATACATGCATATTGTTTGTTTTGTCTGACAGAACTGTCCAAACCCCCAAAATATAAAGTTTACAGACAGTGACAAGCATCAGATATTCAGAGAACATTTTTTGGCATTGCAGCTTGTCTTGAACATGCAATGCCAATGTTTTGCCTTTGTTCCTGAGATGACAGACATACACTAGTGCCTCACCACATCTGTTAGGAGTGACACAAGATAATGATTCACGTTAATGCTTACTATATAGCAAGCTAGTACGTGTTAATTATGTAGGAAACGAGTGAGTACAGAGGTGTGACCCAGCTGCTGTCTCAGAAAGACATACACTGCCAGTCAAGAGTTTGGACACACTTCTCAGTCACTTGTTTTTTGTTCCTGTTATTTTCTACATTGTAAAGTAATACATCAGAGTTCTGAAAACATACGAAATTGTGTAGTAAGCAAAAAAGTGTAAACAGAATTAGAAAAAAAAAGTTAGATTCTTTCTTTTGCCTTTTGTCCTCACACTCTTAGCACTCTCTACGCCAGCTTCATGAGTCACCTGGGATGTTTTTTCAAATGTCTTGAAGGAAGTTTCCACATATGCTGGACATGAATACGTTCATGCAGTTCAAAGCTTCTAGTGCACCTGCCTTAATAATGTGAAAGAAAACAGGGACACGGTCTAAGGAAGCCCATGTGAACAGAGGGAATGTGCATACAGCAAATAAACCCGTGTCCTACATTCTGTACGATGACACTACAAACTAGGGCAGAGTGATACAGGACACAAATCATATCTCAGTACTTTCAAGCTTCTGGCTTTGTATAGCCCGACAGCTATACGTTGTTTATAAAATGACTTGTGGTAGAGAGCTTTTAGTCAGAACCATAATTTAAAATCAGCCTCTACTGATGTCTATCAGTTATACACTGGAAAATAATGCATTATGCACACATACCTTAAATAGTTAATCAATTATACAAAAATAACAAGTTTTAAATGTAACAACATAAATGTAAGACCTTGAAAATATCTGAAAATGTTGCTTACTAAGTATATTACACATTTGGAATTAAAGTAAAAAAAAAAAAAGTTATTTGCTAAAAGAAAATGGAAAATATTTTCAGATGGGATTTGCCCCAGTCCCTCCTTGACCTTCTACAGATAAAGGAATAGCTCATCTTTCAGAAAACAAGAAAAAATGTCAATTGCAATTTATATTATTAATATTTAATCCAAGACAAGGGACGGGAGCAAATTCTCTACATGTGAGAACCTAGAACTGCCAAATGTTTGGTATTTTTGCTTAAAACAATGACTTAAATAATCAAGCAATTATTATAATAGTTGCCAATTATGTTTCTGTTGACAAATCAACAAATCATTACCACTCTGAAAAACATTTAATACAATAAGTTACTTTTTAATCTAAAAGTATTGCACTAAACATTTTATACAGTATGACCTAAAATGCATAAAAACATATGCAGTGTTCATTAACTTGTTTTTTCAAAATAAGCATGAGGTAGAATAGTACGAATATATTTGTAGCAATACGACAAACCTTGACATAATCGATTAACCATCTCATTACATTGTAAAAGACTAGAATAATGTACTGTATATGACTGCAACTTCCTCTTTATTTTATGTCTCACTGCATTTTCATTCTAGATCAAATCTGAGATGGTGGTAAGACACACAGGACTGAAATGTGTTTAAACAGTAATTGCAATAACAGCAATAACAACCATTATAGAAAAGGTTAGTGACATAGGCTGTTCATAGCAGCTCTGTAGCCTTTCAGAATAAGGTCAGACTTACGTAATAAGCATATTGATAATTGCAGGCTACAGTAGACCTTTTTTATGGCTGACACGTTGACATGTTGTAGCTAAAACCATTAATAATGACATTCAGGAAGAGATGTGAGTGAGCCAGCACACAACTTTTATTTAAATGAAATGATATTAATGACATGCATTGTCTTGCTTTAACATGAAAATGACTATATTGTTCATAATTTAACTTGTGTTCCTGTAACATTGGAAATCCCTGAAAATCATTTGCCCTTGAAGTGCTTCTGTGAAAACTGTCTGTCAGATAGGGATTAGTACTGGGGTCACTGCATATGACACCCACCTTCACACTTAATAATGTGTAGAGATTCAGCTGGTAGTATCTGTTTTCTTAAACAGTCCAGCCACCAGGGTGAGATCATTTCTTATTTCCAGTGCAGATTTCCTTGTGCCCGCAAGTTTCTAGCAGTAAGTGCTGTCAGTATCTTGAAAGACAACAAACTGTGGTAGATTGCTACACTGTTATAAAGAAACTGATAAAACATTTATTTTCCTGTTAGAGGTGGCCACCATCTTCAGATGTGTACTGTGTGGACTAAAAGGCCAGCATCATGTAGCCTGATCCATTTGGTCTCATCAAACTGTCTTTAAGTGTATAGTAAACATGTTTGCATATTTGTGCCTTTTGTGTTCGCTAAATGATCTGTGACTACAGTTCTACAGGCACACCCACACTTGTGGGAAAAAAATGGTTGTGATTCCTCTCTATCACACTGCATGCTTTTGTGTACTTTCTCTCCTCATTTCTTACAGTGCTAGCCAGCTCCACATGGCACAGCGAGTCCTTCCACCCCCTCTATGTCTCTCTCGTTCTTGGTCTCACTCGCACACAGATTATGTAGCTGAGCATTGTGTGTGGTCCTTTGACGCGAGAACAAAAGCCCAACAGTGTTTACTGCTTTCAAATGTACAAGAGAATTCTACATGGGCTTTTGCTGTATATGCTAGAAATGGGGAAAAGTTTGCAAAGCTGTGCATCATCAAAATAATTCATGTTATGAGGTTTAATTTGGGTTTTGTAATAATTATTTTGTCAAAGAAATGGTTTATTCTCTTTTAACAACTAGTAATTTTGGCTTTATCTCATTGTGTTTGATAGCAGTAACAGTCGCTGGCATTGGTGCTGAAACAGGAGATTTCTCTTGTGTGTTGAGCTGATCATACAACCATCCACACTTCATTTTTAGTAGACTTTTATGAGTGTTGCTTTGGTTTAGGGGTTAGTCTAAAATATCTTCTAGCCTCTCTGGATGATGCATACGCATTACACACACATCATCTTACCTTTTTTGACCTAGCAGTTGACATACAATGCCTCTGGTAGTGAGAAATATTTCCACTTTGTGCCATAGAAAGTAAAGCAAAGCAAAACACCTGCATCTGTCTGATTCAACACATCCTTCAGCCCTCATGCTAAGATTAAGATGGGGGGAAAAATAACTTGACAGATTACAAAGCGACCCCATGTTGTCTTTTCTCCTTGACTTCACAGCCGGTGAAGCTGTTTCAGCAGTAACAGAGATAAACCAGACTGATCGCTGATATTTTATATATTTGGTTGGGCACAGAATGTCCTGTGTGCAAGGTTGTTGATGAGTTGTGCACAGTTATGTTGTGAGTTTAACCAGTGATCAACATGCTTGCCGGTTTCTGATTTGCTTTGTCTACAAAACGCATTCATTTAAGATCCACGATGCAACCAGAACTGACAAGCTTCATTGTTTTAAGCTCCCAATTTAAAATCTTCCCATAAAAGTAGCACTTTAAAAATGTGAATGTGTTGTCTTCAAATTTAATGGAAAATGTTCTAATTTGTGCGTACTATGGTAAATATCTTCTATTTTTATTATAAGAAGACCTCTTCACATTAAAACAGTGTCTACTGTACATGGGGAATTATTAACATGACCTTTCCTCCTCTCAATCTTTGTCTAAAAGGTGTAGTGGAGGGTGACCTGGCAGCTGTGGAGGCCTACAAGTCATCAGGAGGTGACATTGCACGGCAGCTAACATCAGATGAGGTGCGCCTATTAAATCGGCCCTCAGCCTTTGATGACGGCTTCACGCTGGTTCACCTAGCCATCCGCTTCCAGAGACAGGACATGCTGGCTGTGTTACTCACAGAGGTCAGTGGAGACAACCAGCAGATTGTTGATTTTTCAGGAACAACCTGTGGATTAGTCTGTGCAACAGATCACTGATTTATTTGTCATGCTCCCACCCCACCTGTATCCAAAAAAAAGATAACATTCAAAATAGTTTTGCATAATTTTGTGCAATTTCACAGGCTTTACTGGAAGACAAAAGTTAGAACAAATACCCATATTTTAAGAAGAAAGTGAAACTAGCTGACCTGAGCAAGACCTAAATCATAGTAGTATCTATTTTAAGATTATGAACACATGACCAGGTGTGATTCATTTAACAGTTTGAGAAGACCAAAAACTGATTTATAAAAGCTGGCAAATCTTTGATGGAAATTACACCTTTGAATTATGGTGTGACTGCAGCAGTGTTTGTTTATGAGTCAGAGATGGTGCAGCTTTTTCTTGAAGTCTGTTAATCTCAACAACCAGTGAGATCAGCCAGACAGACTCACAAGGGCAAAAGGTTTGTAGAGAGGAAAGAGACTGAAGCCACACACTCATCTCACTCTGCCCTTTTCTGCAAGATTGACAGTTATTTTAGGTAATTGGTGGTGATTGATAAGATTTTCATATTTGGTGTTTAAAAATATATAGGTTCCCTGGTTTATCTATGTAACAAGAAGGCTCACTGAGCTAATATGTCTGCAGTGTCCATGTACTGAGGGTGATTGCAGGTTGTTTACCGTCAGCACTGTGATCCCAGATTATCTGTATACACAACTCTCCTCCCACACTCAACCCGTCCCATTTTTTTCTCAAGGGGGTCAGAGAGTAACCACAGGATTGTACTACTTCAGCACCGAACACAGAAACCTTTTTTGAGTGTTGTGTCCTAGAAGCAATTTAAGTTAGATTAGTGAATGTATCAAAAAGAGCTCTGATCACAGAGTCAACTACAGTTTGGGTGAAAAGTAGATGGGCATTAAAAACTGGCTATAAAACTTGTAGTATCACTGGAGTCAAAACATTGTCTAAATAGACGATAGTAAATAGGATTTCATATGAAATCCTGTTTAGTTTCTTTTCACCCACCCTGTACATAAACACACAAAACAGTCATGGCTTTTTAAAGTATTCAGACTGGAAAAAGAATTTAACTTAGTGCCATGTTGTGCTTGCTGTATGTATACTGTACATGTGCAAACCTAAATTCATATTCAAAAGCCATCACTGGCTTAAGCCAAAAGGCAAGCACTATAAGCCTTTCCCTCAGACAGCAGTAATTTTCTCCTGTATAGAAATTTAAACTACAAGACCTTGAGATTCTCATGTATCTCACCTGTCCCTAATTTGCATCTTTTCCTCCCAATTTCTCTCTCCATCGAATACATCTCTGGTTTCCTTAGCAGTTTTAGACCTCATCAGTTTTAGATGTACAAACCAGCTCTTGGGTTATATAAATCCTCATTTTGCCCAGTGTATAATATACTTGCAGAGTTCATTCATTCCATTGGTATCAAATTCTTTTATGTTTTAAACAGTGGTCCAGTCATATTGAAAAAAATCTCTTTATCTTTGTCTTGTACAAATGACACCTTATCTCAGATATGAGTAGCTTAACCTACTCATATCTCAGATATTCATCACATCAAAGTGACAAGTGACTTACTCCAGGCAGCTGAATCTGGTGACTGGTTCTATTCTTTTGATACAGTTATGCAGCCATGTAGCTATGGTGATTTGAACTGAAATACAGCCTTCCTGGCTCGTGCACAATTCTCAGCATCTGTATGTCCTACATTGCTTATAAATATAGATTGTACTCCCATCATCCTCTCCTCTCTGCAGGTGTCCCAGCAGGCAGCGAAATGTATTCCAGCGATGGTGTGTCCTGAGCTAACAGAACACATCCGCCGTGAGGTAGCAGCCTCTCTTCACCAGCACAAGGGAGACTTCACCTGCTATTTCCTCACCGACTTAGTGACCTTCACACTGCCTGCAGGTCAGTCCCTCATCACCAAACATGACCAAAATAAGCTCTTTGGTGGAAGCAGTTGGCAAAAAAAAAAAAAAAGTCAGAACTTAAAACTCCATAGCTGAAGAAGCCCAGTCTAACCATCCCCTGGCTTCCCAAGTTTGTGACAGACTGCATGTTGTTTTTTTACTTGTGGGATCTGAAATCCTTTTTGTTCAGATGCTGAGGGGACATAATGCTGCAGTTGTTTGTTTCCAGCTGTCAGAGACGGAGGCTACCTCTGGCTCACTGTTTAAGTATTGTTCTTATATACCGAGTATACCAGCTTGCCAATGATGCATGTCTCTGGTTCATAACAAAGCTATATTTAACATTTTTGCCAATGTCTTTCTGTACAATTACATGCTGTTAGTGCTACTTCTGCTGATTTCCATTGTGTGGAGCAGCTATTGTGGTTCACTCTGTTGCTGGTAGCTAAGCTAAGGATATTTGTTTGGCTGAGTGCTCAGGACAATGCAGAATGTGGTTTCTGGCCAGTATAGAAAGCCACTCTGTGGAGAGCCAGTTCCCCAATGTCAATACATTCATTTATTTTAGCTAAAGAATGAGTTACTGTGTTGACAAGAGCACAGACCATGCTGTGAAAGTCAGTGGCTATTGTGAAAAGAACAAAACATGGTGACTTCAGTTTAAATCACATGACAGAGAGGGTTCTGCAAATAAAATTAAGACTTAACTTTTCACCGCACCTGTATATTCTTTAATAAACCCCACTTTTATTTCTGTGACTTGTTTTGTTTTCAGACATCGAGGACTTGCCCCAAGCAGTTCAGGAGAAACTGTTTGATGAGGTGCTGGACCGGGATGTACAAAAAGGTGAAATACTTAATCTTAATTTGTTGATTTAGTGTTGCGGTATCACCTATCACATGCAGTACTAACATATAGATGGAGGTGCTTTGACATAGAGAGGGAGCCCCTTCAAAAACTGCATACTATAATAGGGAGGGTGCAGAATACTGGCAGTGTTTGTATTTTCCCTGCAGCACACTCTCTGTTTTGCATGCTTGCTTGTTACTCTTCCAGGAGGTCTGCCTTTTATTGTGTGTACTAGTTGCATCTGCCCTAATCAGCCTAATTGAGTTTTAAGGATTTCTCTAATCCTGACTGAATGATTATAAATCCTCTCAGCCCCATCACACACATAAACAGAATTATGAATATGCATATAAAGGGTATTTCTGCAGCACTTTTGAAGTGCTTTTAAAGTGCTGCTTATCTGCTGTCCTCAGTATATGTGCAAAAAGACACAGAAACCCTTATTTTACTTTTGAGTTTTTACTTGCACTTAAAGAGCAAATATTGATTTGGTAGAAACAAAATGTTCAAGTAAGCAAATAACCTTGTCCTCGTTCTCAGGTGAAGGGAAGGCCAGTTAACATTGCTTTAAGCCTGAGTATCTGGTCATGTAAAGCCTTCAGCAAATTGTTTAAAGGTGTATGATGTGTGTGCATTTTCACAGGGAAAGAAGTCAGGACAAGGAAGGTATCACAGCAGCAGTATATCTGATTGTGTCATATGATTAACATACGAATGTAAATACATTTAAGTATACCAGCACTGGTACAGAATAGGGTGGACGGGGGTGAAAAAAATCTCATTACACAAGAATTAATTTTGGATTCAAAGTATTTGACCATCACTGACTTGTACCTGAATTTTGTGTACTGTGTGTCTTACAGTGGGTACGCAAAGTATTCAGACCCCCTTAAATTTTTCACTCTTTGTTATATTGCAGCCATATGCTAAAATCATTTAAGTTCATTTTTTTCCTCATTAATGTACACACAGCACCCCATATTGACAGAAAAACACAGAATTTTTGACATTTTTGCAGATTTGTTAAAAAAGAAAAACTGAAATATCACATGGTCATAAGTATTCAGACCCTTTGCTGTGACACTCGTATATTTAACTTAGGTGCTGTCCATTTCTTCTGATCATCCCTGAGATGGTTCTACACCTTCATTTGAGTCCAGCTGTGTTTGATTATACTGATTGGATGTGATTAGGTAAGCCACACACCTGTCTATATAAGACCCTTCAGCTCACAGTGCATGTCAGAGCAAATGAGAATCATGAGGTCAAAGGAACTGCCTGAAGAGCTCAGAGCCAGAATTGTGGCAAGGCACAGATCTGGCCAAGGTTACAAAACAATTTCTGCTGCACTTAAGGTTCCTAAGAGCACAGTGGCCTCCATAATCCTTAAATGGAAGACGTTTGGGACGACCAGAACCCTTCCTAGAGCTGGCCGTCTGGCCAAACTGAGCTATCGGGGGAGAAGAGCCTTGGTGAGAGAGGTACAGAAGAACCCAAAGATGACTGTGGCTGAGCTCCAGAGATGCAGTCGGGAGATGGGAGAAAGTTGTAGAAAGTCAACCCTCACTGCAGCCCTCCACCAGTCGGGGCTTTATGGCAGAGTGGCCCGACGGAAGCCTCTCCTCAGTGCAAGACACATGAAAGCCTGCATGGAGTTTGCTAAAAAAACACCTGAAGGACTCCAAGATGGTGAGAAATAAGATTCTCTGGTCTGATGAGACCAAGATAGAACTTTTTGGCCTTAATTCAATCAATTCATTAATGCAATCGAGGGAAGGATGAATGCGGCCAAGTACAGGGATATCCTGGACGAAAACCTTCTCCAGAGTGCTCAGGACCTCAGACTGGGCCGAAGGTTCACCTTCCAACAAGACAATGGCCCTAAGCACACAGCTAAAATAACGGAGTGGCTTCACAACAACTCCGTGACTGTTCTTGAATGGCCCAGCCAGAGCCCTGATTTAAACCCAATTGAGCATCTCTGGAGAGACCTGAAAATGGCTGTCCACCAATGTTTACCATCCAACCTGACAGAACTGGAGAGGATCTGCAAGGAGGAATGGCAGAGTATCCCCAAATGCAGGTGTGAAAAACTTGTTGCATCATTCCCAAAAAGACTCATGGCTGTATTAGCTCAACAGGGTGCTTCTACTAAATACTGAGCAAAGGGTCTGAATACTTATGACCATGTGATATTTCAGTTTTTCTTTTTTAATAAATCTGCAAAAATGTCAAATTCTGTGTTTTTCTGTCAATATGGGGTGCTGTGTGTACATTAATGAGGAAAAAAATGAACTTAAATGATTTTAGCATATGGCTGCAATATAACAAAGAGTGAAAAATTTAAGGGGGTCTGAATACTTTCCGTACCCACTGTATATGCATCCTGACTTCTCTCAGGTGGTTTTGTGGCGTACATGCATGTGCATGTACATGTACAGTATGTAGGCTTCATGTCAATCTATTGTGACTGGGGTGAGTAGTCATTAACACTCCCCCAAAACGTTCTTTCAAATGGCATCACTTGTCTTAAAGAAACACTATGGCCTCAGTGTGGTCATATAGTTGGTACCACTGAAAGAGGTTACAGAGAGATGCAGCACTCACCCCTTCCTCCCATCTTGTTCAGAACTTGAAGAGGAGTCTCCCATCATCAACTGGTCTCTGGAGCTTGGGACGAGGTTGGACAGCCGATTGTATGCACTGTGGAACCGCACGGCTGGGGACTGTCTGCTCGACTCTGTGCTGCAGGCTACATGGGGCATCTATGACAAAGACTCAGTGCTTCGCAAGACCCTCCACGACAGCCTGCATGACTGCTCTCACTGGTGAGGCCTGCAGAACAGGGGCTAGGAGTAACAATGTGTTATACTGTAGATGATTTAATTAGCTCACACTTAACATTTGGGAAAACAAGGTCATTATCTTGCATTTTTATACAAATATCCTATAGACTGAATAGACAGCCCAAAGTGACTCATGACTGTTTAAGAAACTGGAGGGTTTTCAGTGAGAAAATTACAATTTTGATTTAATGAGTAATTGTCTTCCAACCAAAACATCAACAGAGATGGAGGAATGCAGTGTACAGTAGTCACACCTCTCTCTGCACAGAGGTCAAATAGTATCATAGACAAACCTGCGGATGTGTGTCTGGTCTGCAGGTTTTACACACGCTGGAAGGAGTGGGAGTCGTGGTATTCCCAGAGCTCTGGCCTGCACTTTTCACTTCGAGAGGAGCAGTGGCAGGAAGACTGGGCTTTCATCCTCTCCTTGGCTAGTCAAGTACGTGCACATGAAAGCAAACGCGCACAATAATATAGAGGACAGGAACTTGATGTGCTGAATGTATGAATTATGCAAGAAGCTTTACTGTTCTTTATTACTCTATGTAATGTAATGTCCTCTGAAAGTGCATTCTGGTGGTTATCAGGACTTTTCTGCTTCTCGCTGCTCTGTGTGCCCTCATAGACTAAGTATTTGGGCAGGTTGTTATTTTGTTATTACATGTGGGTGTGAAAGTGCAGTAATTGTGTGTGCTTTTCACGTTTTAACACTTAAGAGTACGCCAGGGTAAGTAGGCAGAGGGAATGTACAGAAGAATCCTTGCTTTGTAGTTTCACTGGCCCTCAACTTTCTAACAGTTTTTCTCTTTGTGTTATGTTTGCTTTTACAGCCAGGATCCAGCTTGGAGCAGACCCACATTTTCGTTCTTGCACACATTCTTCGTAGGCCTATTATCGTCTATGGAGTGAAGTATTACAAGAATTTCCGTGGTGAAATACTCGGGTACACTCGATTTCAAGGTGAGCTGACTTAGTTGTCTTTTTGGACTGATGCTGTTTAGGTCAAACACTGTCAAATGCTGAGCGCAGCTCCATGCTGTGGGTGCAAAGGAGCTACACTGCCTTTGTGAAAAAGCTCCAGCCTACATGTGTCTGCATAGCTGACATAACTGCCCTCTGATTTGTCTGTAATTGCTGTTTACGATACGTTTAGTGTCTTTCATTTAAGGGCTATTTTAATACAGTATGACTCAAAATAACATCAACTACATAACTATAAACACCCCCTTTGACATAGGAGCACATTTAGAACTGTATTATAATACAGAAAAATGTTCCACCTGTACATCCACATAGATTTCAACATATGCAAACCATCAGAACCCTCAGTTAAATAATCCTATGAACATGGAGAGCAGGGTCCACCTTTATAGCTAGCAGTAAGTAGTGTCTGGATTCAGTTTGACGCTGTGGTGGGATGATGAAAGTGCTCTGTAACGGCCAAATGCTTGTGGTAAAGCCTGCCTGGTGGATCAGTAGTTTACTGTTTCCAGGAACTACACAGAGGGAGGCGTGCATATGGGTGCATATAGGGAGGGGAGCTCAGTTAAAGTGGTGACCACGTAAACCCAGTAAAAACAAAGTGGTTACCGGGAGAAGAGAGTAGCTTAACAGAGGCTTGGCAACTCTGTTGTCAGTTAGAAAGATTTTCACAAAGAGCGTCTTTGTTTATTAGAACTGAAGAAATAAGAGACACACATAATGTCTCCAGTTCTGACCTATATATATTACATAAAATTTCACGAATGCAGGGCTTTTACCTGTTTTGGAATATTTCTACATTGTTGTATCACTACTTTAAATTAAAATATTTAAATGTCCCATGACTGGGTATTTCTACTCATGTTTTTTCTCCAACTTAAATATCAAATTCATAAGACATTTCCATTTCTTGTCAGTTTTGGCCAGAAAAAATGTGTATCATTCAGCAAAAGCCCTTAAATAAAACAAGACTTGAAAAAGGACTGTTTTAATTAAGGGGGAAAAAAATACTTACATTAGTTAGTTATAGTAAATTAAGTTTGGTCCAAAAATCTCTAGGTCAATAATCCACAGTAGGTAGTCGTTCAACCCACAAAATCAGTAATGTACTGGGCTGAACTTGATTTTTGCTCTCTTTAAGAGTTTAGTACACTTAAATGTAAAAGCATAATAAACTCCAAATTTCAAGGTGGGGGGGGGCTAAATCTGGTCAGAACAAATGCAAACATCAAGTGGTAATTAAGTTTGTTAGTCATGTAAAGTGATAAAGTAACTATGCAATTTAATATTTGTCCAATAGATACATACTAGATTAACGACGCCCTAGGTTGTACAACAAAGATGACCACACACTGTGTAACTAATTGAATGCAGCTCGGAGGACGTCTCTTCTCTTTACCTACACTTCACTTCTTCCTCCTCTAGGAGTGTACCTGCCCCTTTTGTGGGAGCAGGGTTTTTGCTGGAAGAGCCCCATCGCTCTGGGCTACACACGGGGCCACTTCTCAGCACTGGTGGCCATGGAGAATGATGGCTTTGACAATCGTGGCGCGGGCGCCAACCTCAACACAGACGACGATGTGACAGTCACATTCTTGCCGCTGGTCGACAGTGAGAGGAAGCTTCTTCATATTCACTTCCTCACAGCGCAGGAAGTAAGGAGCTCACCTGATGGGTCTATAGATTTTGTTTGTTTAGTTTAAAGGAAGGAATACACGGTCAAAATATCGATTTTATTCAATTGAGTATCGACGTTCAAGGCCCTCACTGAACCTACCACTACTGAACCCGAGTCTGGAAGCAGTGGCCAGGATGCTTCTAGCTCCTCCACTGTGGAGGGCAGGGAAGCTGTCCCTGCCCTGTGCACTACCCCAGTTCCACACACCAGCGAGCACAGGAAGACATGCTAAAAAGACAAACTTCGACCCTAGTGATGTTACATTCACGAATGATCCTGCTTGATGTGATAATGCACAGGTTTTGTTGCACCTGTTTCAGAGAAGTTTTGAACTGCAAGTATTTTGGATGCTGTAGTCTATGTATGCTGCTGTTGTACTGTACTACATTATGCAGTAAAGTGTTTCCATTATTTAGTCTAGCCTCACTGATATAAATGGGGTTGACAAAATAATAGAAACATCTGTCACTATAGTAGAGTACAATTCAACAAGACCACAAACCACATCCTCCAAAATGATCATACAATTGAATCAACACTTTTGTTAAATAGTTTAAACAAAAACTGAAGGTTATCAACTGCAATGAGGGAGGATTTATTAGAGAACTGTTGAATTACACAACACTGCAGTAATTGTATATAGGTGTACCTACTAACCGGACATTTGAGTGTAGTTTAAGACATGCCGTGCTCAAGAAGAATATCACCCTGAATTTAGACTTGTTTTTTTACCTTTATTTATTCAGGGTAGGTTCTCTGAGAGGCCACCTCTCTTTTTCAGGAACACCCTGTTCACATTCCCACAGTTGCACAATCACAGCGTCTCTAACCTTTAGGCCACCTAGTGGCCATGTTGACAGATGATCATGTTTTTTCCTTGTGTCCTTCAGATGGGTAATGAGGAGCAACAAGAGAAGCTGCTGCGGGAGTGGTTGGACTGCTGTGTGACAGAGGGCGGGGTTCTGGTGGCTCTTCAGAAAAGCTCCCGACGTCGCAATCATCCGCTTGTCACCCAGATGGTTGAGAAATGGTTAGACGGCTACCGGCAGATCCGACCGTGCACCTCTTTATCTGATGGGGAAGAGGAGGAAGAGGATGAAGATGAGTGACAAAACTGAAATGGGGGGGCAGGACTCCTCCCTCTCCTCAATCTTTGTTTTGTTTTTTATTTTCCTTTCCTGACACGGACAAACTGTGAACACCTTCAGGAGAGGACAGAGAATTACAAGCCCCTACTCACCCACCACCACCGACAGAAGACACTGCTATTCTTCTGGGAAACGCAGGCACTTGGACATAAAACACACTCAACACTCAGACAAACCGGAGACCGACAAACTCCGTTGTTGCAAAACACAGACCTGGGGAGAAAAAAAAAAAGGTTTACAAATGCAAATGACCTTCTGGTTTGAGTTTCAAATGTAAAGGAAAATTGTTATCCATAGATGTACATGCATGTGGTTGTTTTAAAAAAAAAGGTATAAGGAAATATACCAGCATTGATTCAATCACTTTATATCCGTTCAGTATGGGCACTGACAAAAGCACACTTCAGAACTGATCTTGATGTTTTTTTCCAGTTGTAACAGAGTTGGTTTGTTTAGCATTCTGTTTTTGAATGGGCTGTGACAAAAGCCAATAAATATATTATCTTTAGAAACCAGAGATTGTGTAATAATAAATTACTTTAATCCTTATTACTAAGCACTGAGCATTTAAAATATTTCTATATAAATACAGTATCACTGCTTGAATTAAGGTCATATATGAAGCTCTTAAAGGGAGATTTTCCCTTTACAACTCATTAAGGTTTTAGCGCACACACTTTCATGTTGGATCTTTGGTTTACTTTATTTCAGACAGAGTGAACAAGAACTATGTGACTTTTCTTTTTCTGAACTTGGTCTACATATTTATTGTTTGAAACTTATTTGAGCTTAAGATTAAGATCTTTCTGTATATTTTTTCTCCTTTTGTGGTTTTGTTAATTATTCTCTCAATCTTGATGAAGACATGTTGCACAGAAACACTGTTGCTATGAGGAAAGAACCAACCGTGACCATAAGTGAAAAGTTTACTTATATTGTTGTGTGCGATTTAGTACCTCATCTGGATGACTAAAATCTGGTGCTTTTGTGGCGGCGGAACGAGGGCAGCCAGGTGTGCCACTGAGACACTTTCAGTGTTGACATAAACCCTGAGTCACACTTGTGTCATTGTCTCCTGCTTTCTCTTTGTCTCTCTGTTCCTTTATAGCATCTGTTGTCAAGTCACCTTTGTGGTACACATCAGTTCATCTCCTCTGTAACGCCTGTTTGTTGTCATTGTGTGAAACCTTTACATTTTTGACTGTCTTTGTGAGAGACTACAACATATAAAACCAAAGCTGACCGGGGGGGGATTATTTTTTTTGTTGTGAATGTTTGCATTTTGTTTTATCTTTCCATTGCATACTGTAACCTGTTTCATTCAAGTCATACAAGTTTTGAGCATCACTTGTATGTTGCTTTGTATTTATGCAATAGTTACAGTTGTGACTATGATGGTTTGTGAATTTAGACCTGACTTCACTATACAGAGTGTAACGCAAAAAGCAAGCTAAATAAGGAAAATAAATAAATAAACAGAGGAAACCCTTTTTGAATGTCCAACTAAACTGTTTCCTGCCTGATATTCTTGGTTACTCCGTGCATCCCTTAATACTGTGATTTGTCATTTCTTAAGTTTCTAACTTAACACGTTTGTAGCTCCCTCTAGTGGATTTAAAATGGGTGACACTTCTGACAACTGAAGAACATAAAAGACGCCTAGTAATGCAGTATTTCCCCTTCCGTTACATTACGGGGGGCGCCCCGCACACACAGGACAGAGAGCGCGCGATGCGCCCCACTCCCCAAAGCTGTGAGCCTTGCAGGCCAGGAGCCACACAATGGCTACTGGTGACTGCTATGCTAGTAGCCTTTTGTGAGTGTGATTTAGATCCCTGTGCAATCTCAGTCTCGTGACAATTCTGCCGTGTTTGCAGAGCAGAGAGATGCCTTGCATTACCTCTTTCTTGCTAACCAATAGCAGAAGCCAGTAATGTGATTTAGGGTATTTCTGTACAGCAGGTGGATGGCACAGTGGTTGAAATCACTGATTGTGATACGGCAGGTGGTGTTCGCGGCCAGTCGTGGGTCCTTCCAAGGCCTTTAGTGCTATCCGCTGAGCGAGGTACACCATGAACGCTACGGCGAGGAGGAGTCAGGACGCCAGGGAATGTGGGGGGAGATGTCATCCTCCCCCACGGCCGAAGAATATTCGCTTTCGGACAGGTAAAGTATTAAGGGCTCAAGACTAGGGATAGACGCCGTGGGTTCGTGGTGGGGTCCTCCTGACACCAGCAGGTTAGCAACACGCGTATGACGGGGGGGTAGAGGGACGGTAAGGGAGGTGGGCAGATCCCTGCTATATATATAGATAGATAGATATAAATCACAAATACTATCCCAATCTGCTGGCACACAGTGTGACTTACAATTGTCGATGATCTCTGATGTTCATGACATTTAAATCGTCCATAGAAACCGTTTAGGAAATAGTACAAAAAAGACGCTATAGTCCATGAACTGGGAATCAGCACATATTTTTCTTTTGTAAAATTGGTATTATCAGTGATAGATTTCTGTACACCAGTGGATAATAAAAGAAAAACAAAGGAACTGTTAATAGTTAATTCGGCATACTTTCTTATCAATGTGCAAACTATTAGCTAAAACCACACGCCACATCACAACTTCCGGAATCCATAAACACTTCCTGTTTACAAGCATTATGGGAACTGTATTCCCATAAATTAGCGCCTTATTATGTGATATAATTTTTATGGGACTAATAAATTGTTGGGGAAGTTTTAAGCATTTTGGGTAACTATAGCGTCCTGGAAAAAAAAGAGCCAATTATCAGTTAGAACAGTAAGTTTTATTTATTGTTTCCAGCTGCACTGTATGCTATATGTTCACCTTGTACAAGAAACAAATACAAATACTCACACTAAAAACCAAACAATCTGCTAGCAGCCATCTCTTGCTAATGTTATGATGCTAAAGGGATGAATGCGGCTGCTGTTATTCACAGGGCACGATGCCTCCGAGAGCCACAGCTGGCTTTCATTAGAGCAGAAAAACAAAAAAGTAAAAACTATAAGAGGGTGAAGGGTCAGTCACCTAAGACCGAGTATAAGAACATACAAGGCAATACAAAGGCATAAAAGGCAATACAACTAACAGGAGCAAAAACCATGAACATCAAAAAACATACATTTGATATATATAAAAAAAATTCCACAATGGGGAAAAAGGCGGACACATGAAAAGGAATAAATCAGATTTTTTATGTTTTCTGTTCCGATTGAGACAGCTTTGAAGGTTAATCATATTTTTCCTGAGACAGTAAGAAATTTACTGTTTTTCCTACCTTGCTAGCTGATGCTGCAGTGTACTGTAGGTCCTTTGGATGTGAATAGATAATGTTTGGGATGCTGCTCATAACAACAAGCTAATATTCTAGGTACCTCAGTTCAGCAGTTTTTTTAATTTCATAATTAATTAAGGTGACACACTCGGTGTACAGTATCTAACCATACAGTATATGGCAGTCGGTTTCTTTTTCTTAACTTTTTGGTTAAAAAGGGACACATTTACCTTATAAACCAAAATGGTCTTCCTGGAACTGGAAACAACATCTAACTGCCCCACATCTCGTCTCTACATTCAGGGGCCATCAGCCACAGTGATTTGAAGACAAAGATGGAATCCAGATTTGTGATGAAGACAGCGGATTCTGCTATTGTCATCATCTGATTTTCTTGTCTGCTAAAACATGTGTAACTGTAAATTTTTCACTTTCACACACTGAAGAACAGAAACAAAAACAATATAGGATAAACAGAACAAAGTAAAAAAACATTTTGTGCTGAAATGGGTGAAACTGTGGAGGAGGGAGGGGAAAAAGAGGCTTGTGAAGTTGCTGTCCTTTCAAGGTCTTCCATTAGACCAGGGAGAGTGGGTCACATTTCCATCCTGCAGATGGTAATGTCCATGTGTCCCATTATTCAGGAGGAATCCCCCTAAAATATTCTCAAAAAATAAAGATAAGAACCAAAGTAACACGAGTCATTAAAGAACATAGATATGGAAGGAGGAGGTTTCAGATCTTCAGCACATGAGTTTGATGGTCAGTCCCATCTCAGTGTGGCAGCTCAAGTAACATCCACTGTCCTCATTAGGGCTTAGTGGTTTCATATAAACAGAAAACGTGCGAAACGTTGCCCAGCAAGCAGTCTGCTGGTTGGTTCAGATGACTGAAGTCAAACAAAGTTGGATGATTGAGTTGGTAGGTTGCTGGGTTTTTAGTTTACAGCGGTTTTAGCCCTCTGCTCTTTTACGGCAGCTGTCCTACGGCTCAGTCATGTGCTCTCTCATGGGGTCGCCATGTTTGGAGGGTTGGGTAGGGGAGGTGGCCTGTGACGGATGGGTACCAGGGGGCAGGGTGTGGGTGATGGGCACTCCCCCAGGCACCAACCCCTCCATAGGTCCGGGAATCCCACCAGGGGCGACACCCACCACACCAGGAGGGAATCTGGAGATGGACAGGAGACAATCCAATCAAAAGATGAAATATGAAAAAATTTGCAATTTAGGATGTAAAATGATGTTTTTCTGGGGGAAACATAAACAAGGAGAATCAAAAGTTCTCAGTTTTGGTGGACTCACCAAGCATCGTCAAGTCTGCGCAACAAAATATCTGAAAATGGTGCAAAGAGCACTGCAGCATGGAGGCAATATATGAGAGTGTCAGGGGTCCTAATACAGATAGTTTTGGATTTATTTGCTGACAGTTTAACATACACATACCTGCTGCCAACCCAATGCAATGGTGGTCAAAGAAATTGTTTTTGTTTTGAACAACATATTAAAATAATTAATCAAAAACATCTCTCCCCAGAAATGGTGTTCCCAGTAAGTGAGAAAATAGGTTATTTTTGTTAGAATTTGGGTGAACTGTGCCTTGATTTCAGGGAGCTAAAGGGGGGAAATCTGGAGGAAAATGCAAATAAAACAACTGACCATATCCCCAGTTTTCTGATAAACAATGACATGAGGCCTTCATCCCATCTCTACCCATTACTTCACTATTGCTCACTCTAAAACAATCCTTATACAACTGTTGCTTGAATTGCTGATGAAATAATGAAAGCTTAACATATTCTACTCTTTATTTCCAATGTGTACCAACAAACTCTAAATGTATTAACATTTTTAAAAATGTCCATAGTGATCCTGAGAGTCTCAGTTTCAGGGTGGTTGTAGGGGTTTGGGGAATTGATGAGAGGATGGGCAGTGTGGATGCAGTACAGGACGCATGAACATGGAAGCAGAAAAGGTTACAGATTTCAATGGGATTTGGGTATTCTATTAATGATGTTATTCATTTGCCCTGGCCTGTGGACCAGCAGTGGTAGTATTCATTTACCTGGTTGAGATTTAGGTATATAATTTGTCTTGCATTCCCCCCGTTGCTATGGCCTGTACCATGGTTTGGTTCACTCGGCTGTGTGAGAGAAGCAGTTCAGTCTGGTTGAGACAATATAGAGACTGAGAAACCAAGAGCCTAAACTTAACAAGGGATAAATTCACTTGGGCCACTTTTCTATGTGTAGATATGCCACAAAAAGTGGACCTGCCCTAATATTCAGGAAAAGAAACTGTGATATACACACATAGACATCTAGGCTAATCCCACACCCATATGTTTAGCGTCATTTACTACAGGTGTTGAGATGACACAGGTGAACTGTGCGATGTGAGCAGCCTGCTGCATTCATATAAATCCACCTACCTATAGGCTGCCCCATTGATCTCAGGGTGAACTTGAGGCTGCTGCTGCTCAATCACTCCCCAGGGTGCCGTAGTGACAAAGAACTCTTTGTTGACGCAGTTTCGGAGGCTGTCAGGAATACGGCCTGTGTCGGAGCAAGATTGAACATCTGTGATGTGAGAAACAAAAATCGGTGAGCAAGGGAATGCGCGTGTTCATAGATATCTCCATACCTGTGATGGCTCTGCGTATTTCTGTGGCGGCGGCCTCTCTCATCTCCAGTGACGCCTGCTCGCTGTACCAGGCAGTGTGGGGTGTGCAGATCAAGTTTGGGGCATCTTTCAGGGGACCTTGAGAAAAACTGTTTCATAGCATATGAAAGAAGGAAAAAAGAAACAAGATGATTAAAAGAAGCAATTTCAATGGATTTGCGTGATATTTTTGGGATTTAGCCATACACTCCCTTCACTTATTAGGCCACAGTAGTAGCTAAACAGCAGGAACTAAAGACTTAAGATTAAACGCTGTTTCAAGAAGAAGATAAAGGTGTGATCATAAACACCTGAAAGGCTCCGACTCGTGGACATCCAAGGCGGCTCCCCGTATCCTGCCCTCTTTTAGGGCCTGAGCCAAAGCTTTCTCATCCACTAGGCCTCCCCGTGCCGAGTTGACCAGGAAAGCACCTTGACGCATCTAAAAACAGATACACACACACACACACGCACACACACAGCAGTAGCGCAGCATACATTTTTATTCTATCAACAATAATTCCAGCATTCAACTGTTCAACACATGGCTTTGAGAATGTGAACCCAGAGGAGCTGACATTAGCTCAGTGTTGCAACACAAGTAAACAAATGCTTAAAAGGATTTTCAAAGATAGGATGCTAAATCTCATCTTATCTTCACTGAATGACTTATTCATGTAGCATGTCAGTGATGATGCATTATATAGAATGACGCCAATAACACAATTAGTTAAAACATTCCGTTTTCAAGCAGCTAGATCAAATAGTCATGAAACCACTGAATTTAACGCAACCTACAGTTTCAGTTGTTCTCCTTCAGGTGGCAGCAGTGCCCAGAGCAAGAGCATGTGCAGTTACATGCAGTAACTCAAGAGTCTTTCTTGTAGGAGGGAAAAAATCTGTTCACACATTACTGGGACAAAGCTGGTCACCAAATTGTAAATCATTACATTTCTGGGTTAAAGTGCATATCAGAGTAAGTTTTGCTGCTGATTCACCAAGGCTGGTTAACTTGCATGCTTAGCCTGGCAGCCCACTCAGCTGGCACCTGTGATTATGGCTGGTCAGTAGTGTCCCTTGGCTCATCACTAACTGTTGGCAACTTACAATAGGTGTGGTGTGCTGCTCGGAATATGTAAGCCCACAAGCATGATCAAAGTCTGATAATGCAGTATGTTGAATTACATTACAGAGAAAAAATATATACATCTGTACAATGAAAGGGTAATATTTACTGGTTTATAATATAAGAATGTCAGATTAATGCATTCATGAGAATGTTTTATTGAAATAAAATGGAACAGTTCATACACCACACCCCCACAACACATGCACACTTTGGCAATGCTTGGGTCACACTGACCTGAGAGTAATGGAAGAACAGAAACTGAGGAAGAACAGACTGATTAGAGTGAATTTCCTCTACCTACCAAATTACAGACACTAATGTAAAACGCTGCCCCACCTCCATTCAATTCCATATGTAAATCTTCCTTATTCTGGATCCATAGAGATTCTTCAAACACCTCTACTGCTTCAGTTGCGCTTGCTCCGAGTATCTTACAAATCATTACAAGGTTAAACAGCCTGTAATTGGAAGTTGCCAACAAACAAGGGCTGGCAGCCATGGAATGCCAGTAGCCATCCAAGTCAGCTGCCAGTCCGCTGGGTTAAAGCTGTTTTACCAGCCTCTGGGAATCATTAGCTCAGTGAGGAGAACGTGCAGCCTACTTTGTAGGGTAATAAAACCTTCTGCCAGTCAAGGCTCATCAGTTTTTGATAAGTTGCATGCTCTGTCAGCTTTACAGACCATGTCATGTGTTTAGGGTGAGAAAGTAAAATCTGTTTCCGCTATCTTCCATCACCTGATCCTCATGTTAGAATGATATATAATCCATTTCTCAGGCTTCCTCAGCACTGAAGGCGACCTTACCTGTTTGATGGTGAAGTCATTGATGAGGTGGTGGTTGTGTTCATTCAGGTTGCAGTGCAGGGAGACGCAGTCACTCTGGTAGAGCAGGTCCTGGAGTGTGTAGACTCGCTGTACGCCCAGTGAGCGCTCCAAGCCGTCCTGGAGGTAGGGATCATAGAAGATCACGTTGAAGCCAAACGCCTTGGCTCGCATTGCCACCGCCTGGCCTGAACGACCTGAGGGGGGCATAAGATGGAGAGAAACCGAGAGTCAAATGAATGTCAAACACCTCATGTGTCATGCTCTCTACACTCTGAATACCACCAGTTTGACTTGAACAGGTCTTAAGTAATTTAACGTAGAATCACTTCTTGCACTAAAAGCCCAAAGAAGGATCTCACCAAATCCAATAAGGCCAAGTGTCTCTCCTCGGATCCTGGCTGCCCCTGATGCCACCTCTCGGATCTGCTCCACGCTCTGGACCCGTGTGCCCTCCCGGAGAGCCTGGTACAACCAGGTGTTTCGCCGGTACAGGTTGAGGATGTGACAAAGTGTTGAGTCTGCTGTTTCTTCTACAGCTGCTGAGGGAATATTACACACTGCAATTCCTGGAAAAGGAAGATGAGAGGGAAAAACAAATAATGAAGCTCAAAATATGTTAATGATACAGATGCTTCACAGATAAGTTAGAAATACTGTAGTTGTTCTGAAGAGAGATTCATCTGTATTTTATAATACTATATATATAATATAATAATAACAAAATAATTAGCATTACATTTATGAACTTCTACACAATAAAGACACTGTATAAAACAACTGTGAAGGAAAAGGGATGCTTAGAACTGCTAATTATACCCCATTAAGACCATTTAAAATAAATAAATAAATAAAACATTTCAGCTGAAATGTATTAGCACAAACAACAATAATTAGGATATCAGAATAAATCCTACTCCCATAATAAACATATGCTGAAGGGACCAAATGGGAATCTGAGAGTTTCATTTCTTTTGGAGAGTCTGCTCTGCATGCTGCATATTATTTCTATAACATATTCTGTTTACAGCATCTATTAATTCCTGATACATATGTTATCAAAGTTTGATTCGGCCCGCATCCATAGGTGCACTATCGATAAATTTGTGTTTTTGTTTTTTTATTGTGGTAATGAATAAATGAGACTCCTTGTTCGTTATTTCCAGTGTATGATTATTGTCTGCTTATGAACAACCTCACTTTTTATATCATCGTCCTCCCTTATTTCCTACATCTGTCATTTAGTCTCACCAAGCTCCCCAGCGGCCTTGATATCGATGTTGTCGTAGCCGCTGCCGATGCGGATGATAATGCGCAGTGCCTTGAATTTCTCTAGGTCCTCTCTGGTCAGGGTGATGGTGTGGTACATCATGGCCCCTACTGCCTCATTCAGCACCTAAGAGACATTAAGGAGGAGGAGGCGTCATCTTCACTGTCTTATTATCATTAGCTGTTTTCGAGATGAAAAAAAACAGAACATTTTCATCTGCATTTATATTACATTCACAATGTCATTATTGTTCTTAATCACCATCACCCCAACATTGTTATTCAGAGGGGTTTTCTATAACTGTATGTATGAGAAACTTGTTGCAACCAAAATGAATGAGTGCTTTCACCACCTTCCATTTTCCTGGACCTGGAAGTTTATATTGGCTATTCTTCATCTAAATGCAAATGGACTGTTTATGTGTGCTCTAAAATGTGAGTGGTTGTCTGTGTGTTTATAGTGAGTGCTTGCCAAAGCTGATTTTTGTTACAATCAATTCATTCAGACTGTATGCAAACTAGGTTAGTGTGGGTGCAGGCTGGGCCATAAAGTAGGCTGACAGCTGCTGAGAAACCCAGAAAGCATAAGCAAGTAGCTGGTGCAAGCTACAGCTCCTAAACAACAGCTTTAAATTCACAACCCGCTAACTAAATTAACTTAACTGAACCAGATTAGAAGAGCCATGAATTTCCATACAGCGTTTTTATTGGAGCTCACTGTAGCAGGAGCTGGATGCTAAGGTTAAAGCTCTCTCTTCATGCATTAATCTCATTACTTGAGCCAAAACAGGCCTGCAGCAGGCATGGTTAGAAAGGGTGCTGGAAAATGACACAGTATCACAGCGGACTGTTAAGCACCATCTGAACGTAAGCTTACACAAAGTGGAAAAAATTAGCTAATGGGTTTTATATAGTTTTAACTGAGCTGGCATGTCACAGTACAAGTGCACCTTCACATTGTTTCATACCTATGGTAAGGAATCAAGAATATTACAAAGCACACAAAGCCATTAACACAGGCAACACACTAATTCTACGCTGGTGTAACGGCACATTTACAAAGCCTTTTACCTTTAAAGTGAGCCAGGCTATGCTTTCCCCTGCCTTCCTTTATGTTAAACCAAGCTCACTGCCTGCTGGCTCTAGTTTCATATTCAGTGCACAGACGGGAAAAGTGTTATTCATATTTTAATCTAACTCTTGGTGATTGCTCAAATGCTAAAACAAATACAAATTCAATAAATTATTTGATCAAATATATACATATATATTTTAACTCTCATTATATGATCACAGGCTACTGGGCTGAAGAGGATATTTCTGAAGCTGGGAGCTGTGGTTTGCCATAAATTTCAGTGTTTCAACATGCAATGAAAGTTGGACTATAAAATACGGGTCTATATTAAGAGTTATGGCCAAGGTTTTGGTGATGACAGCCAATTTGGCGAGCCTGTATTGGATGAAGAGATGTGTGAGGAAAACAATGCAGAAAGATGCAGCCCAGAGCCGTCCTTTTATGCATGAATAAAATAATTGAAGATTATACAAAACACAGATTTTTGCACTTAATTAACAATAAACACTGGTTAAAAAACAATATACAATTCTAAGAGTGCACGGATAAACCACACAGTATTTAACAAACATGCGTAGGGGGCAACACACCTAGTTCAATTCCAGCTGAGGACCTTTACTGAATGTCATATCCACCCCTCTACAGTATTTCCCAGTGTTTCCTGTCTACAGAGCACTGCCATGCTTGTTTGACAAAGTACTGGCATGCTCCATGTCTCTTTAAACTTTCTTTTGTCCTGACAGATGTAGTGTTGAAAAAGGAACACATCATTTTCTCAATTACATTCTCAGCCGTGTTTGAGTGTTACCAATTTTCACTTTCCAATATAACAGCAGCGCTTCATCACTTCCTCATGTCAGCAGTAGTTACTGAAACCTGGAGGTCAAATGCACTTAAAAAAAAAAAACAGACCACTTTGTGTCTTTCTGCACTTCCAAATTTCAGTACTGTATTGGTTAACAGACCGTGAGTGCTTTCTAATAAATGTCTTTTAACATGTACTCGACAAGGACCACAAAATGTTTGCAGGCCACTGCTGGCTTGCAGTTGCACTTCTGAGAACACAACTGTTAAAGTTTACATTGATTCCTTAAGTGACAGATTCCCAAAACTGCTGCACCTGCTTATTGCCAGACTTTGCATGCACAAAGACAGAAATGTGCTTCTGTTTGCTCTCTTGGTGTGTGAGTTTATTTATATACTGGTGTGTGAACAGTACGTCACTACTGAAACTGGTGTGTGTGTGTGTGTGTGTGTACGCCTGTGTGTATGTGTGTCGAGCACCCCATCTGTACCCTCTGCTGCACAGTTTTAGTTATGGAGTTGCTGCCAACATCTATACTCCCAGAGGGGTCCTCTGTGTGTGAATGTAATCACCACGAGATAGAGACACGCCAATACCAATACCAGTATCAGGTATGCGGCCCGAAACCACCCTCTAATACTTCTACTCATTATAGTTGTCCGATACTATGCACCGATACCACGTCCTCTAAATTCATATGGCGTAAAAGTAAAACTGACTACTTTTTAAAAACAACAAAGGCTTTGACATGACAGCGTTTTCCCTGAAATTAATATAACATGGAGCAAAACCCATTCTGTGTTTGTAAAAACACCAATTCTCCAGCTCGGATTGAAAAACTATTCCAGTGTATAGACAGTAAAATAAGACAAATGTTTCACCCGCTTTGGCTCAGAACAATTATACTGCATTTCTATTACCAGCCTTCTCCTCCTCCTCCTCTTTATTTAACAAAGCAGCACTTCAGCACCCAGTGGGATTAGAGTCAGTGATGAAACCATTATAGTTGAACTGGGAGAGTGGAACAAGCCAGTGGGCTGAAAGATTAAATCATTACAGAGGAGGAGACAGAGAAGGAGGAAAGGGATGGTTCTTCTGCAGTCAAATGAAGGCAAATTATCCAAGAAACACATTCAAAGTTCATACTATGTCAGGATGACAGTGAGTGCCTGCTGCAAATACTGATGCTACTACTACTACTACTACTACTACAAGCAGCACAGTTTGATGGCACAGCTATTTCTTATTTAATTCCATGTCATATACACATTATTTCTTTAAAAAGCATGGAGTGAAAAAGATGCTAAAATAGGTGTATAAAGATGAAGATTTCATACACCCAAGACTTTGGACAAGTCTTTGAGAGCCATCCCAGGAACGCAGTGCATCGTGTGAGAGGTTAAAACTAATGATCAGTGCTACAGGTTTGTGCTAGAGCACGTAACAGTTTGACTAATGAAAAGATATATAATGAAATGAGGCCAATAAAGTCTTACTATTTTCAATTGGTAATAACTGTACTTGTTGCATTGTCTAAAAATTACAAATAAAAAGTTACGTTTGTACCTTTTCATGTATCTCCTGTGTGGACTGGGCATCACAAAAAGCCACGGTGGCCAGATCCTTGAGGATGGGCATCTCCACAGTGCAGTCACGCCCATCCAGCAGCGCCACCAGGGGGCGCGGGTGCATAGGCCCGTTCATAATCTGGGGCCGAATACCTGCAGTGAGAGGGAGAGGGAGAACACAGGGAGTTAATTATTTATGTCTGACACACACCGTCAAATGAGCTGCAGAAAAAGCGGTAAAATGTAGGAAAAGCATCCCACAGCAGGAAGTGTTTACACAGATTGGGACTGTGGGTTTTGTAAAATCAGTGGTGCACACACACAACTATACACACAAACCTAAACGCGGTCGATACTCTTAAACTGGATTGAGCCACCTCCTCTACTTTAAACCAATATCATCACCTCCCTTACCTAGGAATACACACACAGACGCACAACGTTACTGATATGACTACACCCCCACACCCCTCGCTGTTATCCACACTGTTACCAGGCAACAGGTCCTTTTACCCCATGAGGTCATCACCTCCATTATCCTATCACTATACAGAAGACCTTCGGTGTGTGCTCCTGTGTGTGTGTGTGTGTGTGCACCTTCTGTATGCCCTTCACACGCTTAACAAAATCAGCCTCATTCCAGCACTGAAGAAAATCAGCAGGTGTTCGGTAATTAAAAACAAACGTGAGGTTACCTCCAGGTTTGTCTGTCTTTATCTTCACCTCGTTGTTGAGTTATGATACGGTGGCCCTTCACGGACAAAAACTGCTGGAAACTATAAATGTGCCAGTACTACTGATTGTCTTGATCGATCAAAAGAATGGCTGATCCAGTTGACTCTGCCAGAGGGTAAGCCAATTAACCTGCTCTCAATGAGATGCCTTTAAGTGTTAAGAAAAAGGTGTCTTACACAGAAGAATAATCTGACAGCGTGGACCCAATTTCCTCTAAAATGAGGGGGGAAATGATGGAAATGGAAAGGGAGAAGGTTGGGAGGGCGGTCCACACACCACCACTCTCTGGCTCCCTGCTGCCTGTTGTCATGGTGATTAGAGGATTTGGGCAGGATTATGAAATATTTTATTTAGTGGTGTCTGCGCCGCTGGAGAGGACATCCAAGCCTGCTCGCTCTGCGTCTGTCACTCTAACAACTCTAGTTTTGAAAAGCAAGGGCAGTGTGTGTGACCTAAACAACTACATCACAACATATGTAGTTAAACACACCAGATGCATGTAATATAAAAACTAGGGATGCAGGTAAATGTAGCAGTGTTTCAGTTAACTGCAATTCTGCATCAATAGGCTTGTTTTCTATTCTACACAGATAACTGAAAAGGTTGCACTGATTATTGATCCAACTTTTTTCTAAAATGGTACTTTCTAGTTCTGGTTGATGATTTAAAAGGCCCATAAAATAAACTTTCTAATCAAGCTTGTAACTCAAGGTGATGGGATCCTATGTGAACAGAAACATCTCTGCCAAAGTGAAAACATGAGTGATTTCTGTGTTTGTGTCTCTGTGTGCGTCTCACTGGTTTGAAAAAGTTGTGCAAAAAGTGATGTTATTTGTGTTATATGGAAATACACAAATAAGAACCAGTAAGCAACACTTTAATAGAAATATTGGTGCCAGTTCTAAACGTTAACTTTAGCTTAGTCATAAATACCTAATAGTACAGAGCAATACTGACATGTGACATGTTTTCAAATGTTTTCAAATTCTATTTTGTGGATTGGTAAAAAATTCTGTACAACAAATAGTGTCCAGTATGTTAACATCCATTAAATTCTTTTTGAACAAACTGGTCTTTGTATAAATTCACAAAGAAATTTTTGAACTCTTACTGTGCCCATTTTAGGCATGATTCTGGATGCAACATTTCACAAAATGTAAATTCGCACAGTACCTTTTAAAAGTCACATGCACCATGCCACATCTTCAGAGGGTATGCAACACTATAGTGATGTTAAACATAGCTGGTGAATTATGCAGCCTTTTGTGCCTCTGAACATGTGCAAAACACAGATCTGAACACACACACACACACACACACACACACACACCCACAAAATATAAAAAAAAAAAAACAGGCCGCCTGGCTCCACGTGACTTAGACTCATCTGACATAGAAATGAGGATTAATTTTAAAAAGAGCTTAGCAGTGTGTCATTAATACTTGAACCTGGATAGACTGACACACAACCTAAGGTGTGTGTGTTAATTCATCTGCTGGCGTTCTCTCTGTCTCTTTCTTTCTGTTTGTAACAAACCACATACGAAGGTGAACCGCAGACATCTCAGAGGCGAGCAGCTGAGTTGCCAAGCACAAAATCCCCACCAATAGAGGAGATGTGCAAGCAAAGGGAATTAAAGATGAAGAACCAGGAAAGGAAGGAAGCAGTGAGAAACAGGATGAGGAGGGAAGGAAGTGGTTCGCCACTTGCAGCATGGATTGTTAAACATTACTGACAGCTTTAAAAATGTGTGTGGACCTTTAAAGCAGCACTGCACCAATTTTTCACTTTTTTTTTTAAACAGAAAACCTGTTACAAACTGCAGGTGTGGGATGTAAAAGAAGTGGAAGGGCCTGTTGAAAGATGCTATGGAGCTGCATTATGGGAAATTAAAACTTGAGCCTTAGGGCTAAAAGCCTGGAGTTTTCTGCTACTTCAATTTTTGATCGTTTTAGAGATATGTTTCATGTAAGTTCCCCAAGTTTATAAAAATGCAGTACTGAATTACTAGAGTATTTTATAAACCCATACACACTCAGGCCTCAGCCATCATGGAAACATTTTACTTTGAGCAGTTTAAACCAGCAGATGGATTACTGTTTGTTAAATCACTGCTTAAACTCCCTTTTATACATTTCTTTTTACTGAAATGGTGTTGTTAGCTATTAATGACCTTATTTTATTGAATCTTTTTTGTATTATTGCTTTGCTTTTATTTATTTTTTTTGTCTTGTTCTATACTGTTTTGTCTTGATTTTATGAGTTCAGAGTTTTTAAACTGCTGTGTGACGCACTTTATAACTGTTATACAAAATGTTTTAGAGATGAAGAGACAATTTTTATTAGTTTCTATTATAATACAGCCATTACCAATATTAATACTGTGCTCCTGATTAAAGCAGTACTTCATAAAGCCTAGGTAGCATATCAAAAGAGAAGAATGATGAGTGCAAAAGAAGGAAAGGTTAAAAGGAATAATGTGTAAGAGATGACCTCAATCTCTCTGTTCCTTTTTCCAGAATATTAGCTGAAAGCACAACAAGCATTGTGTCTAGGTTTGCTAGCGAGGCAGCTGCGGGGGGAGGAGGAGGAGGACTGTTCACCATACACACCTGTGGCTCCACGGCTCCTCCTGCTCCTCATCACACTCCTGCAGAGTTCATTATCGCAGCTCAAACTGTCTGAGGAACAGTCACACACAAGGAAGCACACTGCCGCTCGAACAGACGCAGCCTTGTGCGGGCAAACACACACCGACATGAAAGAAGAGAAAACCAGAAAACATAGAATCCCTTGCTTATACTGTACACACACACAAACCACAAGCAGCTGGTAGAAAAAGCAGCATCACTTTTAGGAAGTAGGTCAAAATGCTGGTGATTAATTATTTCCTGGTGGCTAATTGCCTTTCTCCAGCCTAATAAAGCAGAATGTGGCACCGCATTAACACATAATGACTCTGCGGATAATTAACACCTAACAAGACTGTTAATGAGGGGCTTAATACCTGGCCGATGATTTGAAGGAGCTCATCGGTTTTGGACAGAAAGAAACGAATCCTCCCTGAGTCACTCAGCCAAGAAAAAGCTGAAAATCACTGTATGTTTATCTAAATGGGCAAATTGTGTTTGTATGCTTAAATTTAATTGAGTGAAAGTTCAGCACAACCTGTCGGACAATGATGTTGTGTATTCACACAAAATAAACACAGTATTGGAAAAGGTGTTGTTGACTGTTGACTCTGTAATGGCCTCTTGGAACCCATCCCTCCAGGGACGTTTTGTCACCTTAAAGTTCATGGGTTTGGGGGGTCAGTCTCTCATCTCACACTGTCTGAAGTACACTAGTTCCTAAACTAATCAAGCTTTAACTGATACATAATCTTACCTGTTTAGCGATCTGAGGAAATTTCCGGATTACATAACTTTTTTCTTTGTGTTGACTTGTGTTTATTTTTACTTTCTTTCTCTGTTGTAAACTTACCATGGCAGTGATATTGCACTGCTTTACTGTATCACTACAGGCTTCTGTAAACTAAATATAGATCTCAATAGGGACATTACAAGTCCTTGTAAAAGATTACTGAGACTTCAAATTATCTTGCAGCTACAAAGGGCTGTAATAACAGACATCTGTTGACATTAACTGTAAACAGTAACATAACTGCCAATGGGTACCTTGTATATAATATAGATGATTAAGGAATGTGAATCAAGCACATTTTTATGAGAAGACAATTTGGCAAAACTTAATATATAGGGATTATGAAATAATTATTGCCTAATAAGAAAAATGAACTATTACATCCTACAGCTGTTTTTTGCATTCAGATAGCAAACTGGCAATGGAGACCAAGAGGGAGAACATACGTGAATCTTCTCCTAATAATTACCTTTTGATGTGACACCCTAAGGTGGCACCTACCAGGCTCTACTGATCCTACTATTGATCTCATGGCAGTACTTGTAAGCCAGACATCAGCTACTAAGCAGAGTAAGACATAAATGCATCTTTTTTTCACTTAACCTGCGTCTTGCACTCTCTCTCTCTCTCTCTCTCTCTCTCTCTCTGCCCTCTCTTCATCCCCCCTCTCTCCCTCCCTGCTTGGGCCGACACCAGCCTGGGGAGTTTGGCAGCAGCCTGCTAGCCGCCCCACCCAGCAGCCAGACCCAGAACCTGAACTCTACAAAGAAAAAGCTAAGACTCACTTGTAAGTGGAACAAAGATGCACCACGGAGCCTTATTCATGTGATTACTTGCTGTTACATAAATTTCTGTGTGCAGTAGAAACAACATGACTAAAGATGGTTTACACTGGATGCTTGAATGTTTGGGCTGGTAATTTGCTGAATATAAATGCTAATTGCTTGTGACAATTTACTGTTATTGTACCCGAAAGATTTGTCATAGCGCAGTCAGCACCGTCTCTTAAACAGCAAATAATAAAAAAACAAAACCAACAGCTTTTGTGTAGACCACATGTAACAGTCCTCAAGGGAAGCTGGAATGGACTAAAGTTGATATCATCCATTAGCCAACACTAATCACAAAGTGGATGATTCTCCAGGAAGTATGAAAACTTTTGGCAGAGCTGGCTAGGGCATGCTCTCAACCACAAATGGATTACAGATGTTCCGAACTAAAAAGTCTTTTTGGATTCTGACAATTAGAAATAGAAGTCAGCTTTTTCAACATCAGAAGAAAAAGCAGAACTCAGAAATATGCCTCCCCTTATTGCATATGCTCTGGTGTCCTAAGTCGCTTATTTGAAAGGGCTGATCTTGGAAAACCAGCTCAGAAAAATCAGCTCCCAGATGCTGTGAGTCAGAGTTTTCAGAGGGAGAAGGATCATTTCCTAAACAGAGCACAAACAATCAATGAAAGAAAATAAACTCTCGCTCAAACCTGTGTTTCTCCCCTTAGGTTAGAAAACAAATCTTTAAATTGGTTTTTAATAACACAGCACTACATCACACATCTTTATTTCTTAACCTCTATTTTCTGACAGATCATGTGCTCTGGTTTTGTGGTTTCATGGATCTCCAACATGTGCTGGTCACGTTACAAAACATGATTTCATTTGTAAGTTAATGCACCCTTCAGATTTACTTGTGGCTTTTTGTGAGGTAGTTACATACTTTGAAAGGTAAATGATTCACTTTAGGACTGTTAAGTCATATTAACTTACCTGCACTACTGTGATTTCCTGAATAATTACACTGTGTACAGTGCCATCTCAAATCACTTAATAGCCTTGCGAGACAGTTTGGTATCCTCACAGAGGAGTGACACAATTTAATTACTTTTTTTGTGATGCCATTTTCAACTGACTCTAAATTACTTCTAGCAAATCCTCACCACCAGCTTTTTCTTTTCACTCTCTTCTTGCCCTTTCATGCTCTATTTCCAATCTCCTTCCCCCTCCTCGTGTGCAAAATGTGATGAAATGCTCCTAAATTACTCAAACTAGCATGAGCCATGCCATGAACATTCCTACACCAGTCCCTGCATCAGTGGAACAATAAAACTGCAAAAACAAAAGGAAGTGAGGAAGATTTTCCATGGCACGATGATGTCAGGACCACAGTGGTGGTCACTGAGTTCACAGCGTGCTTTCAAAGAAAACTACTCCACAGTTGACACAGAGCCAAAATGGGCTCAGCGAGCTTAGGACCAACAGCTGGCTCTGGTTACCTAGCAACTCCCAAGATGGGGGCCTCAGTGATGGGATAGTCCAAGAGCAAAAGGAGGGGGGCTGAGCCGATAACCCAAGCAGGCTTTTCTCTGTGGCAAGTGCAGCAGTGAGAAAGGAAACGCTTGTTTCCATGATATTAAATCATGCCCCCGAAAGAAAACGCACCACAGACTACCCAACCTGGCAACCCAATCAGCGTCCGAGCACAAGTGGCACAATCAGTGTTTTTTTTCCAGGCACACATCAGGAACATGCTCGCTTTGGGCCAACACAGCTCAGTGCACACACACCCACACACACAAAGTTTGGCTGCACTCATCTTTACACACACACACACACACACACACACACACACACACTCACAGATGATAAGTGATTATCAGGGATGTTACAGATTTGGTTAAATAAAGTGTTCAAGGGCATCCACAGTTCTCAGTAGCTCCTTTCTACTCTGCTTCTGTTTTCCTAATGCTGCTTGTCTGTGTCCACCTGCATGTTACTTACAATATGAAACCATTACCCCCTACAACTGTCAGAGTATGTTAATAAAAACCTGGCGCCTGTATTCTTGGGAGTGTCTACTTTCTTGAGTGTGTTTACATTTCCCTGGCATGTGTAGAAAAGAAGGAAAGAGTAATTTTTCCATTTTTTTGTGGGCAGACGTGCCTCCTCCAGTCCCCCACCGGACCCTATCAGCGCCTGGCTACACCGTTGCCACCCTAGTCTCTACTTCCACTATGTCGGCACACAAAGACCTTGTTTGTCCTCCCTCTGCATGCCCTCCTGCAAACTTATCATCATCCAAATCCCCAGACAAGAGGAGTAAGGGTGGGGGGAAATAGAAGAGATGAGATAGGAAGACAGGGCAAAATTACATGTAGGACTAAAAGACAGAAGAAAGTGGAAAACATATGCTGGGATAAAGATAAAGATATCACAAGTGCTGTCAGTGGTAAAGTGAGAGAGAAGACGGCCATTCATCCATCACCATCTCCTCTTTAGATGCTGTCTTTTGTGCCTCAAAAGCAAGGCCTAAAAACAACTGGGCTCCTGAGACAAAAGCAGCTGTCAGAGCAGATGAACAGCAAACCGTGCACTCCAGCTTTTACTTCACGCATTTGTGCGGGTCACGAGCAAGGCGCAAAATTAGTTAGTATGAGACTCACCAATTTTCACAGAAAATGTTTACATTTTGGCAGGACATTTCTGTCCCATTATCTGCTGCATGAAGAGAGTATTTCTGCCAAGTTAACGGCTCTCAAAGAGAAATACCGAGAAAAAGTTTAACATTAGCTGCTGATTATAATCATAAGCCAGCACTACAACTTAACTGTGTATTTTGTGCTCCAATTTATATTTTACTCAGTTTTCACACTATTATTGATGGTTTTTATGTAATAAGCATCAAAAATGTATTCTAATAAATCAACACATTTTACAAAGTAAAAAAGACCCAAACCCATTTGCATTCCATAGTACAATTACATTCACACAAAGAACCTTTAACACTCACATTATGCCCATTCTTCTGTGACTTTGTACCCTCCAAATGACAACCCTCTAACCTCACTCTCCTCTCACTGCCATGCAGACCAAGGAAACACTGACAAACTCAGACAGGTCCTTGCCCTCATGCACACACACAGTTTTTATGACACACTTCATTGCAAAAACATAAGAGGCTCATTAGCCTTGAAGTCAAACCCAACTCTCACCCCCACCTCTCGCCATCACACAGACCGTCTCATTATTTTTATTATTACCCTTCATGAGTGCATGAACACACACACATATGCACAAGACAATGTGAAACATGCTCCTTGCCTGGGAAATGCTGCCTCCACATTCTTCAAATCAGGAGCTACACATGGTAGAGGAAGTGCAGTGGAGAGGGACAAAAAAAAAAGAAAAAAAAAGTGGGCGTTGGGGGATTCTCACAGTATGCCCTGAGGTTATCCTCTCCTCTCTACCTCCCCCTCCAGCCCTCCCTCCCTCCCTCTCCTCTGTCCTCCTCTGCTGTTTTCTCTTGCTCTCCCACTCGTTGTTTCCAAATCCGTCTTCCTTTGTCAGCTCATGCCCAGTAGATCCATTTCTTCTTCTCAGACGACTGGTATTCTCAGGGGGAAAACAAACGGAAGGTGGCACAGGAGGGCAGCGTCTGAGGGGGAGGACAAGAGAGCGAGGACTACAATCCCCCCCGCACACACACACACACAGTTAAAGCGATGTCTTCAACTCCTTTAATCGCCAAAGAGAGAAGAAAAAAAAACAGAATTTCTATGCATCCGCAGCCAGTAATCGGGACTTTTCTGCACTCTCCTCTTTCCACCTCTTCAGTCAGATCACTTGTCTCTTTTCTCCTCAGCCTCCTCTTCTCTGCTCCGTCTCCCTCTTCTCTCCCTTCACGGCAGGTTTGGGCTATTCATTCAGACGTCAGGCTCACTCCGTCAGCCTTTTGTTGCGAGTCACAGAAAGATAGAGAGAGAGAGCGAGAGAGAGCAAGAGAGCGGAAGGGGTGGGGGGGGAGAAAAATGGAAAAGACAAAAAAGACAGCAAACAGGCTGGTGTCACCGCTATGCGGGAGAAAACAAAAGAGGGAGGTAAATAAAGAAAGGGAGAAAAAAAAATCCTTGACGAGCACCAGTCACAGCGAGAGGTCCAGCGCTCCTGGCACATGTATGACTGCCTCTTCCATTCTCTCCGACCCTCCCCTTCCCTCCAAATATTTTCCTTTGCTCTTTCTTTCCTTCCATCCCTGCTCACTTTTTATTATTTGGGATCTGGCCTTCATGGTCCTTCAAGAGTGCCAGCTCCTCCCCGTCAGAGTCTCGCTCCCCTTGCTCACAAACACTGCTTCACAATCTCCTCTGTGATTTTTCTCCTGCGCACTCCTCATCCTTTTGTTGCTCAACAAGCCTCATTTCGAGGCTTCAGCATGTTCAAAATGTTGCTCAGTGTTCATTTCTGTCATACATGCACAAAGGACATAGACATCCTTAGCAAAACAGAGACAGGGGTAATGACTGTTACACGCGGGGCCACAGCAGTTCAGTCTCTTAACACAGCACGAACATCTGTGAACGTCAATTGTAATAGAAAATCCTGCAACTGCAAAATTAATCAAAATTCATTAATTATGTAAATATATCTACAAGTCTCCAGACAAACACACACCTGCTACTGAGAATAACAAAAAGAGTGTTTCTCTTTCATCACAGTGGCGTTGGTGTCACTCGTAGACAAACGCACAGTTCACAGTTTTTATCTACGAAGGTTAAGAGGTCTTTGCCTCCAGGTCAACATATGCAGCCACAAGACCACTTTGCTGCTGTATTGTGTGTAGTATTTTGCTTGTATTTACTGTACACTCAATAGAAATGTTGTGAGTGTAAAGGGCTCCATTGATGAGGTTTGGTTACAACATGTAACCAAAGCCCACAAACAAGGCCTGGAGTAAAAAAAAAAACAACAAAAAAAAGCCAAATGACTGAGGTAGAAACGAGGTTTTGGGGAGAAGAGTGAGAAGAGAAAAGGGACAGTGGAAAAAATAAGGGAGAAGAAGAAACGGCACAGCTGCAGGTAGACAACAAATGATTTTTTTTTTTTTTAATCTTAGCACATAAATTCTTGTTTTACCATTCATGCACTGCCTGCGTATGCTCCACCTCTCCAACGTTGTTATTCCCCTCCTACACCTTTATCTTTCTCTATGACATGAGCCAACCGGCTTGTTTGGAGAGAGAAAGAGATGTAAAAAGACTGTTATTGAACAAAAGTGTGTGTGCAAGAAAGAGAGATGATGGGAGATGGCATAGCATATTGCACCCTTCATGCAGGCTTCAGGCTTAGACAAGGAGAGTGTGAATGGGTATCCATGAACAACAAAGCAATGAACAAATACGTGCACACACTCGTACCTGATTTAACTGTAAGATTCTAACTCATCCAGCAAGTGACCACCTTTACTTTAACTTGCTCAGAAACCTTTGTGAAAATATCTAAAAATCCTAGAAATGCAGCGATGGCTGCTCAAACACATTCACACAAACACAAATCCTTCTCCCTGTGTGAGACCAAAAACACTGTGCAACACAATCCCATTTTCAGCCTGGTATGATCCTGAACACGACTGACATGCCTACTGAGAAATGTATAATATTTTCCTCGGGTGCAAATGAGATTCATCTGCACCTCTAAACATATCTCTCCCTCGCTCTGGTTAAAACACAGCCCAGCAAAGTGTCAAGTTTTGCAACGCTCCAACAGTGAAGATTTGATTTTCTCAAAATGAATAATTCAGGGCGACTCCCTGGTTGGCAGTGAGAAGAGAGGAGATGAAATGGAATAAAAGAAAG